GATGTGAAGGAAATGAGCATTGGTGACTTAAAGATACAGTACTTTACATTTGTATGAATAACATTTCCTCAATTCTAATACCTAATCAGAATATTTATCATATGAGCCAAGTGCACATACGCAGTTTCGGAATCACATCTTAAAAGAAAACCATTTTAGTCGATCCCTTTATCGACTCTCTTAGTCTTGGACGTTATGTGACTTTTATATATTCCAAATAGTACATGGACATCATACTTTAAAAAAATATCGGCTTAGGACGTTTTGAGACTATCCAATGGCTTTGGACAATTTGAGGCTTGAAGATTATGAAATAAACCCACGTACCGGTACCAATGTTTGACCAGTTAGTAAATGTAATGCCACTAATCAGGGTCAGCTGCATTATGGTTGCAACTGTTTCATTTGAGTCACTGATAACGATAACCAGTGACAACCACAACCGCAAGGGCGCAACCGTGACAACCACACCTCAATTGCGCGCTTGCACCGGTCAATGGCGTATCTCGGTTGCGCCAGAATGTCGCAATATTGGAGAAAGCCTAACATCCGAAACTTGGCTGATTAACTCAAGTTTCATCTGATGGGTTTTCGGTTTCAAAAGTCGCGCCTCCAGGAAGCCGGCTGCGCTTCGTTTGGAGTTTATTGATCAATAACTTCCAAGGAAGTGTTCTAGTGCAACCAACGGAACAGTGCCGGTTGCGGTAGACATCCTTCCGAAACTAATGTTGAATAATTTGAGTTCAAGATAGAGGTTATTACGATAAACTTCCTTAGATGGGAGGTGCGATAAAATATTTGCGCAGCTCTTAAAGATTTACCAAGCTACAAGTTCTCCTGTCCAAGACATCCTGTCGTTCTAGATATTGTAACCACACAGATTAGCTTGGTACCAAACTTCCAATTCTTAGCTTTGGCGATTATCATTATCATTGATTATTATCATTAAGTTTGAACCAGAAACGCCTCCTCAGTGTTTCGAACTGAATATGAATACAAGAAGAGTTTAGAATGAAGTTAGATGAGCGATGTATAGTTTTTTTCTACTTTTTTGTAGTTACTGGTAATGATAAGCTGTTTCTATAGCCAGGATCTATTTTAAAAAGCCAAATGGTCCAGGACAACAGTTGTGAACCATCAACAAGCGATTCTGAAACACCATAACCTATGGAATATTCAGACGAAGCACTTTTTAAGGGCTTCATTACACACGTTTTATGTCCTAAACGCTAGAACACCAGTGATCAATTTAATTAGTCTTATATAAATCTTCTGGCATAAAAAAGAGCTAAATTATAATGTTATGTAGTTCCAGGAGGGATTATGTAAATTCTACCGCATATCCGAATTTATAGGGGGGTTTCAAGGTGACGAATCACATAACCCCTGGCGACATGTACTCGTAGTCGATAAATAGTGCGGCAGTTCGCATTAACTTCAAAAAACGAACTAATGGCAAAAACGAAGTTAATGGCAAACCATTAACTTTCTAAAATATAGTGAATTTGAATTAATTCAGCCTGACAATTAGCTGATTTTACATCCACGTATCTTCGTAAACATTTGTACGAAATAAAGAAATTTGGATTAAAGGAGAAATAAAATTAAGTCAAGTATGTGAAAAAATATATGTGAAATCGTTAACATTTTACACACTGGCAATTGAATCTTAATTAACTTACTATACTTTCAAAAGAATTTTCAAAGAGGACGAGAATAATTTTCCCTTGACAAACAAGAATAGTTGCTAGAAATGCTAAATTTCTCGTAATGAGTAGGAAGACCCTCCATTGCATAATCGGCGACAGAGACAGGTTCGGTGGCTTATGGCGTATGAGAAACCCAGTCAAGAATGTGGCCTGGCTCTTGTGTAACCGGCAGCTATTGTTGCATACCTTCACCCCCTCCCCTATCACACCTTAGTCAAACTGTGTTTACACGATAACAGCTCGTCGATGCGTATCTTTATTTGTATAGAGATAATTCGTGGCAACATATTTGTCAAAGAATGTGTAATTGAAGGTGAAAAATCATGAGAATTCCTCCGCTAAAAACTGAAAGGTCCTTATGTCTCAAATGAGTTAAAGGTCATATAATCTGTTGATAGAAGGGTTGCTTCTTTTCTTGTAACTGTAAAAAAGAAGACCGTCTCATCCCTTACAACTGAGTATGTACATCGCTTACTCCTACATCACTGAAAACATACTGAAACCCTAAATCCGTATAACTGTTGGTACATATACCATTCATGCGAATATGGTAAATTCGTATGTGAATATTTACATATTGATAATTAAGCTATCACTGTTGAGTGTTGATACATATAAGGGCATTTCTTCTCACCTCTATAGGTATAATCTATATATCTATATAGGCAAGCATGTCTCTTTAAAACCTTTTTTCTCAGCTCGTGTGCATCGCAGGGAAAATTTACTCATACGTTTAGAAAGATATTTGTCTGTAGATGTGCAGAATCCCTTTATAAATTTAAATAGGCTCTAAAAAACACAAAAATGAGTTTTCAAAAAATTGACATGGGCCTTATGGGTTGCCATGATTATGATGGTAACGAAATAACAACGGAATATACTCAGAAAATCAAAACAAATTCCAATCAGATGTTTTATTTACAGCATAGGGTGAAAATAGACATTACACATTTTTGGTAGAGTTTTCGACTACTGGACTACCTCTAGTTTACATTATTGTTAAATGTTGATATAGATCAACATCTTGATATAGATCAACAATCTTGATATACATTACGCAAATATCTTATCACTGAATATAAAAACTTCCCCTCCTTATTTTCGTCGATTATATTGGTAAACACATTCCTTATCATTTTAGATGGATACGGATAATCTCAATCCATCTTTTGACACAGTGATAAGCACAATCTTTGTCACTGTAAATACTTTGACTTGCATCCTTATCAATAAATATACACGTCATCTTCTTATTTTCCATAAATAATTCATAGATTCATTCCATTAGATTCATTCTTTTTATCCTTAATTCCGAGGACATGACGTTTTCGTTAATCTAGATGTGCTGATTCACACAATAACGTTTTCGTAACTTATTATTTTCAGTAAATTAGCTGTAAATTAGAATTACCCAATGATAAAAAAATATCAGTTCATGAATTATGTATCCAAGAGTGGCTTTAGCATAAAACAAGAGCGAGAATTGTGTTAATACGACACAGCTAGTAATGTCGCCTTTTTATCTTTGTTTTCTCCATTTAAATTTTCTGCGTGATATTCTTCCAAGTAATGTAACATAATAGTTTTAAATAAATAAATATGTCCTTAATAGCCTATTTAGTCTTAACGTATTAGTCTATTTTGGTTGTGAACAACTTCTTTTTTTCAAGAATATCTACAATGCATTCAGGAGGGTCAAACACGGAAACTAAATGTTATTTAAGGAGGCGCAACGAAGTCAATAAATTATGTAAATATTGTCGAGGAATGTAAGGACATAAATGCCAGACTTTCTACGCCATAGACCACCGAGCACTGATCAAAGACCTCTGAAGGCTCAAGACGGCATCATCTCCACTTTCTCCCAGCTGGCGCCATCTTGTAATGTTGAAGTATTAGGCTATTGAAACCTTCCGGGTGGTGCTAGATTTGGAGATTACAAGAATAAACTACTTGTAACACTCAGACAATCGGATAAACTTATATCACGGGTTGAATAGATTTATCACATTAGGTTGCCGCAAACCTCACATGTATGAACGAGGAAAACAGGATTGTAGAAATTTGACCCTACTGATTAAAACCAGTTGAATTTGTACGCACAATTATTAAATTGAGTTATTTCATAATACGAAACGAGTAGAAGATGTAGTGTGTTTGGTTAAGCGAAGTTTCCTGTAAATGTTCGGAGGTCGGTGACGTTGGTTGAAAACGAGCAAAGCAAGTTGAAGTTATGCAATATTTTGCGTATTTCTTTAGCGAATATTTAAATGTCAACTGTCATTGAGGAGGGTTCTGAGTTCAGGCACACTTCAAATTAAACGAACACATTTTCAAGACAAAAATATATTTATTAAGTAATAATGCCTAAACTTACCAAAGGAATATCCGTCTGTTCGCTTCCAAACATTGAAACACTTTTCCTGATAAGCCAAGAAGGTGACTGTACTATTCCCGTGCTTACAACATATTTTAGCTCTTTCCCCGATATTCAAAATTACCAAGAAATAAGTGCAAAATTGACAGTGTATTATCAACTAGTGTACACGTTGCTCGAATTCGAGCAATTGCACAGTGTTACATGATTTATTTCAAAACGAATAACAGTCAATTTACAATGAGTTTAAAAGAGTCAACTCAAAGATTACCGGTGTGTAGGCTAACTCAGACCATGTTTATCTTCGTTATTGATAAACCTAAAGCATTCCGGCCGGTTTTCCCCTTCTCAAAATACCTCGCTGTACAGGCAACACAGGTCATTGATAGAGGGCCAATTAAGAACGAAAAGTCGGTTTGGGGTAGTGTTGGGCCAGGGTCAGGTGCTGACTGTGTTGAGTTAAACCACAGAAAACATACTACTAAACCTATTACGCGTCACTGTTCTGTAGCTGCGGTCGTTATCACGATTACGCCTCCTGTCTATGTTTCGTTGTCGTCGCGTTGGAGGCATTTAAAAGAAAAAAAAACAACAAATAAACAAATGATATCTACACAAAACAACGATAAATGCAAAAATTTGAGTTACAATCATGCCAACACGATCCGTCATAGCGACACAAAACAACGATAAATACACCAATTTAAGATTCAACCATACTAACACGATTCGTCTTGGGGGTTATGTTAAAACAAACTCAAATAGTAAATAAACGTTCTCAATGTGTTTCATTGAATGGAAAAATAAAAAACAGCAGTTAAATTATACAGCTGATCAAAATGTAAAAAATTATGTGTTCTCATCTTGCAAAGGGTAAAGCTACGGGTTTAAATTAAATTGATATTCTGTTTCAGATGGTCACAACGGTGCCGGGTGCGGCGCTGCTGCTGATGGTGGTCGCAGGATGTCTAGCAGCCACCAAAGAACCAGAACTTATCACGGAGCCGAAGCCAGGCCAGGCGTACGTCAGCATACACGCCGGGTCTACACACAGCCCTAGTGGTGAGTGTTAAGCTCTATAGTTTGTTCAAATGGCGAAGGTGATTGGTGGTGGGACCTACCTGTGACCAAGTGTTCATTGGCCGTAGGTGGGCCCCATCACCGACCACCTTTGTTATTTGAACAAGCTATAAGTAATAAGTCCAGGTAAAGTTTCTGATGAAAAATCTGAGTAGTTGAGGTTCATTCTCGTCTGGCTTGTAAAAGATAGTCAACCACGATAAAAGGCTCAACTCCTTAGGTTGTTGGGGACTCGACTGAAATTGGAAAGAGACCGTTTCAATATGTTACTAGAAGATAAAGATAAAAGTCTTAAGCTTTTTGGATGATTGAAGAGCACTCATATGTTCTGATTATTCATATTTTACGAAACATGCATGTGTTGTTTCTATGCAATAGTCAACTCTAATAGTCATAGCGGAGTCAAATCTATTGACCAGCCAAGAACGTCGATGTTGCAGACTTTCTGAACATCTGGGTATCTGGGTGGTTAAAAAACTCCTCAAGCCTACTACGATATCAGGAGAAATGTCTTATTCTGTTGAATGGTCGAGAGTGCTCCATTGTCCTGATCATTGAGATTTTATGGCCCTTTGACTAAACAGTCCTAGCGATGAGTGGTAAGAATTTGAGTAACAAACCAAAGTGACTTTGCAGACCTTATAATCCATTGAGCGCCTTAGTGGTAAAAGCTGTCGTCTAAGGTTGGCTACATTCTTAACACCGGGATGAAGTATACGCATCAAAATTACCTTTTCAATGTTAGTAACTGACTTTACGTTGGCAGTCTCAACAGCATATGTAGAGGAATTGGGCTAGAAACAATAATCAATAACCGAGAGGAATGATATGGATATTTTGCTAAGCTGTTACTGGACCATTGGCTATCCACATAGTCTTCCCATGTAATATAAAAATTTGATGCAAAAAACGTGATGCAATCTGTTGAGATGGTCTACCAACAAATGACATCTCCTTGTCCAGTGATAAATCAATCAGCTGTTTTACGTTTGCTATGATCCTGCGTTAATTTTAAAACTGTTTAGCTCGCTTTCTTGTCTGTTCGGTACAAATTTTGCATATGATTTTAAAAGCTGAGCTAGAAACTTAAAACTTAAAACATACCTCACAAATGGATGACAATGCAAGATTAAATAATTTTATTTTCATATTTCCCTTGAGCTACACCCCATAGGCTTCCAAATTTTTAATGTTTACATTTTGATGAATGTTTATATGTTTTATGTTTTATGTTATATGTTATATGTTTTATATCAACTGAAGTCAGCTGAGAAAAAAGGTTTTAAAGAAACATGCTTGCCTATTAATATATAGATAGATAGATGAGAATAGTAGCAACAACAGTTAAAAAGGTTTGGTTATGATGTGTAAAAAAGCCAGAAAAATATATTTTACATATTTACACATTAAAGACTAAACAGTATAATATAATTTATAAATAAAAACACTTTGTTAAATACCACGTTTTTAAACGCACTAAAAAGTAGAAAATAATTTATAAATACAATATGTGGAGAGAATAAATACTTGTAAGATTTAAAACGAAAAACGTGGGGCGCATGCAATAGATAATAATAATTCAATTGGTTAAGATAATCGTAAATTAGCTATTGCATGCGCCCCACGTTTTTCGTTTTAAATCTTACAAGTATTTATTCTCTCCATGTTTCCGATAACATGGGTACTTTAAAGGGATGTAGGGCGGAAACTGGGAGTTTCCAAGCCTTGTGAAAAACTCCAATAGTTTTTTTCGTGGCCAAATACCTCATAACAAACAAAAAGATTTAAAATCCTCTGACGAAAATAAAAGTTTGTCCGTACACGCGCTTGTATTAGATGAACAGTATGAGATTTAACCCAATACACTAGTACCCTCTGGTGAGATGGTCCTGAACTACATCCATTTTTTCCTTCACATTTTTTAATTACATGGGAAGTCTATTCTGTGTATAGTCAATGATAATACCCACTATAAAGCTTCTGGAATATGGATAGGTTACAATTATCTCTATGATGATTGCTTAACGTATTGCAATATTTACTTCCGTCCCGTATATACGGGAACCTTCATATATACTTAGCATTGTATAATCAATCATATAGCCAGGATCGAGTAACGCATATAACGATAATGCGTGTAAGGTTAATGTGGATACCTGATCTATGGACTTTGGAATAAAAATTTAACCCCGAAATGAAAATAGTAAGTCTATTATTCCTGAGGTTATGATCACAGTATCGAATAATATAAACTAGAGCTAGAGGTCGTCCAGTGGCCGAAAACTCGACCAAAAATATACTTATCTATTTCCACCCCATGCTGTAAATAAAACATGTGATTGGAATTCCTCCATTTGTTTTGATTTTTTGTTTATATTTCGTTGTTATTTTGTCATCAGCATGGTAACCCATAAGACCACGAATACTAGAATCTAGGATTCGTGCATAAGACCATAGACAAATATTTGTCAATGATAAGTTCCATGTTAATTTTTTATTATTTTTAAATTTATTTTTAGTTTTTTGTGCTTATTTTTGAGCCTATTAAAATTTAAAAGGGATTCTGCACATCTACAGGAAAATATATTTCTAACAGTATGCGTACATTTTCTCTGCGATGAAAACGAACTGAGAAAAAAGGTTTTAAAGAAAGATGCTTTCCTAAATATATAGATTCAAATTTCTGGTTCGGCAACAACAAACCTTTGAGAGGAGACTAAAAGCATTCAAACTTCGAATCTTGCTTGGAAAAATTGTATCCGTATTAATATTAGTAAAATGACAAGTTTCAAAATACTTTATACTATGAGAGTGTGCTTCAACGAAGGCATACATTTTGGATTTAGATGAGTTTAGTTTACACTACGGTATATTAACACCGGCGTAACTCCTTTTTAGCAATAATTCGACTGAAATTTAACAGTTAACATTTTAAACGTTTTAATTGTTTTCCTTAAATTCAGATTCCACTTTGCATGTATTTGTTATTGCTGTTATTATCGTCTAACCATGCAGTAACGTAATATTGTAGCTTGCACGAATTACCTGATGTGTTATTAACCAAATTAAGTGTTCCAATTACATCTTACTCCGGGCGAGGTTTTCGATCAACCTTCCTTCTCTTGAAGGACGTATGTAAAGCCAAAAATAGAACATTTTAACACACATCCGTGATTAAGTTTCTGTAATTGTATTAATTATGTTGCAAACAATGTTTAAAGTAAGAGTAACGTACACAAATAATTAAAAGTGAGAGGTTTTCAATGTTGTAATGCAAATATTTCATCTCAATCTTCTTGCATATTTGTGTAAAAATTCAGTGTTTCATCTTAGTCGTTTTAAATTATGGCGTTATCTTGAAACGATGGACGCCAGGATTGAGGTTGTTTGGAAATTGATTGATACAGTATCACACTACACTACGCAGGCAAAATGCAGACTGCGATTAACTCGAGCAGCGATTCAATCGGCAAGGGGCGAGTTTTAATGAGTATCTGCTGGTGCCGCCATTTCACTCATAACTAATTTTTGTTGAATTCCATAAGTATTGAGTCGACTATTACTTTTTATTTGGCAAACGTTTAATGTTCCTAACGTTTAATCTTTACATCATTTTTTTATTTATACTAGTTTTACCCTGAGGAGCGTGCGCCGGACTCAACGTTTTGAGTACGAGTGCTGCCACCTGTCCAGACGAGGTGGTAGCTACAACCAGAGTAACAACCCTAACTCTCTATTTTCTCTGTGCCGTTCATTGTTTTGCATACGAATCGTTTTGTATAACTGATTTTGTTTAGAATAAGACTTATTTTCGCGGACCCGTTGCTACGCGAGGTGGCAGCTATATACGCACTTTGCAGGCCCACCTAAAAAAACTAACTATGGGTCTCTTAGACGATATTTTTCATAGGGATCTCCAAAAAATATTTTTTTAAATTGTCCCGATGTTGCAGCCCCGGTCCCCGCCGTCCCCAAGGCCCCGGCGCGCCTGAGGCCCCGCGCGGCTGACGAAGAACTTCTCAAGGTCAGGGACACGCGGCAGGTCTCACACGGTGAGTGTTTCACTACTTTCACGAATTACATAAACTGATCAGATGTTTCATCACACCCACCTCTGGTTGTCTCGCGTCTGAAGAGCGACCATGTTGGTACCTAGGGACATTTCTCCCCAAATGGTATAGTCGGGGTATGAAATGGGGATTAGAATTTAGGGAGTTATTGGCAGTTAAAATATTGAAGTTATGGTTGACGTTGATTAAGATGATTATAGCGCAGACTTTTGTCCTAGATGCACATGTTTATATGATCCTGACAAACACCAATGGATTTCATCTCTTCTGATAATGCAGTAATCTGGGATTAGGTATATTTCAAAGTCAAGCCACATTCTCAACGGAGTTAAAAAGCATGTGCTTTAACAAAAGTTGACAGCAATTCAAAGAACTCTAGGATTTTTTTTGCAAAATTTGTTTCAATATTGCAACAAGAATTTTGTTTTCAATGATAAGGAGTTGTAAACATGTTATGCCTACAGCAAGTTTATTCTACATGAGAGTGTACATTTTTTTAACTTTTTGTTTTTAAAATGTGGTGTTAACTTAGCAAGCTGTAGTTGCATTTATTTAGAAAACTGTCAGATTAGAAGAATTCTAAGTCTCTCGGTTTGCTAGTTTCCTTTATGTTAGTGTGTTGATAAAACTCCCAATGCCAAAGTCATAGGCACGATAGGTTAGTTTCTGTACTATGACAGCTGGCCAAACGGTTAAAAATTGTTTATTCTGTTACAGATGAACTCCATGTGCAGGTTACAGATGAGGGGACCAAGGGAGTTGTTGATGAATCAGCTAAAGCTGACAGTGAAGAGAAGAAAATCATGGTATGAAGAGTACCATTAACCTATATGTATGCTATCTAGTGCAGAAATAAGCACTAACACTGATTTAAAATTAAATCAGTTGAAACTGTCTTTTGAACCTGCACAAATTTCAGTTAGGGTATTTGAAGACTTCCAGAAAGTGACACAACTAGCTTTAGTCAGCTTTACTCATTCTTCATCTGGTAACCTGATGCTGAGTACAAGTCTGACTCCTTTGTGGCTTGATCTGCTGAAGGGTTATGGTTAAGCAAAATCAATAAAAGAACGTACACTTTATAGATAATAAAGTGTACTATTATTGCAGTAGCCTATTGAATTAAATGTTCGATAACCGTTCTTGAGCCAACGGTTATTGTTGATTTGGCAGAAATGGATCAAGGAGCTTGCTGAGCCATTAATGAAATATAATACTCTCTATTCACATTCTTCAAGGAGAGAGAAAATTTTTCAGGATACTCCTTAGCGTGATAGTGCATTATCTTTAGGGTACACTACATAATATTTAATTACCTACCTCATTATGTTTTAGGCAAGGAAAATAGACACAATTAATCAGAAAAAGGTAGAAAAGAAAGAGAAGGACTTTGTGGAAGATAAGGAGTTCCCCCTCAAAACCAAAGAAGGATTTAAGAAGGTCCACATAGAACTGGAAGGCAACTCAGGAGTAAAGGCGGCACCAGTGCACGAAGAGGTCGATGACATTGCTGTACCACAACAGAAGTACATCACGTAAGACACTGCTTATTATTATCATACTAATATTATAAATTTAAAAGTTTGTGTGTTTGAAGTTCAATCACGAATTAACTACTAGTCGGAATGGGTTGAAATTTGGTATGATGATAGCTGACATTCCCGATTAGCATATAGACATATTCTCATCTCAAAAATCCTTTCGAGCTCCACCCCAGTGGCTCTGGAGTTTCCCATGTTAACCCTAATGAGTATCTATATATTAATAGACAAGCACGTTTCTTCAAAACCTTTTTTCTCAGCTCGTGAGCATTGCAGGGAAAATCGATGCATACTGTTAGAAAGATTTTTTCCTGTAGATGTGCAGAATCCCTTTATAAATTAAAATAAGCTAAAAAATAATAATAAAATAATAATTTTGGTCGAGTTTTTGACCATTCGACGACCACAGAAAGGAATATATTTAAAAGGAATTAAAGAATTTTGTCAGCTGTTTTAACTACACAAGTTGCTTCTATGATATTTAATAGCATTAAAAAGTTATAAAGTTTACTAACAGAGTGCAGCACTATTATTTTCTTTTGCATTTATGACAACAGCGAGTTTGAACCAAGCAGCAACAAAAAGCTGTGATACACAATGAGAACTTTACCTTTTTCTATTGATTAGGTGCAGTTGTATAACATTATAGCTGTGGTAGATGTGCTATATACTATAGTAACTGTATGCCGTAAATTAAAATAACCATATTTTCTTAAACCGTGTCCTTCCCATTGCAAACGCAAAGCACGAGTATAACCGCAATAAGAATTTTATACTTATACGCCAACCCGTACAAAGGACTGGTACACTGCTAGTTTCACATATTTGTAAGAGAGGGGTTTTAAATATTAAATATCGACTAGGACTAAAATCTATTTTACTTACCAAACAATTTGTAACAAGTGTTCTCAAAAGATTGGAAAATATTAGGCTATAGATTTTATAGGACCAATTGTCATCAGAATCCATTCTCAGGTAGAGTCTAATTATTTTTGTAATTTAGAATGAAAATAAAAATATGTATATGTTTGTAATACAGTAACTATGACAGTTTTTTGGAGCTAGTGTCATAGACATACAATATAGTTTGTATCTAGAACACTACATTGCAAAACCAAATATATAAAGAAATTACTTTTCAGAGTTCCGAAAGTCATTCAACCAACAACGATTTCACCTAAGAATCACTACGACGTGATTCAAGTGAATAAGCCTTCAGTGAAACAACAGATCGAAGACGAAGGAACCTTTGACTTTGTAGATTCTCCATTGGGCGACAAGCAGCTCGAGTCATCAGGATCATCTCAGGCTTCTAGAGTCAATGTCAAGAAGGGACCAAACGGTCAAGAGTATGAATATGAATATGTCTACTACTACTACGATGAGGATGACGAGCTTGTGGGCCCTGCCAAGCCAGCCCCAGGCCCTGCCAAGGCCCCAACTACGAGAGCTCCGCCTCCTCCCACCACTGAGGCCCCTGTGAGGCGACGACCCCAGCCCCAGCCACAGCCCCAGCCAGAGGAGGACGAACAAGACTTGGCTCCTGTTAGAAACAACGGCAGAAACAGGTGAGATAAGAGTGGACAGTTATCAACACCATTACTGATATGTCATACAACAATTCAACAACTGACTACTGAGATACAATTGACTATAGACAATTTTGTTTCAAAGAGAATTTATATTAGAGAGATGGGTTATAAAATTAAACTAAAACTGAATGGTTTTGAAATAATGTTAAGGTGGTTCAATGTTTTACCCTTTTAGAGGGTCAATAGTAAGTAAACAAAGTGTGTTGTATCATAAAGTTTCTTCAGTCTTTTAAAAATCGTCTTATCTGCTTAAAGTAATGACTTGGATACAGTATATGTAGTTTTAACATAATTACAACCATTATAAAGTTTGACTTAAAAAATGTTTCAGCAAATTTTCACTCCCTTAATTGTTAGGAGGTGAGCTACATTGTTGACCATTCAGAGTACACCTAAAACTTTCAAACTACTTGATTTGTAAAAAATAGGTAAGTAATCCCAAATGACCGGCCTAGGTATCAAAATTGATTCAATTATTGATGAGAACAAAGCTTAAAAGTAGATTTTAATGTGTCATAACAACATGCACTGTCTCCAGGTACACAACAATAGAACGCACCCGAGGGTCAGTCCCAGAGGTTGTGGAGGTGACGTCACCCGAGCCAGCCAGTAATGAAGTCCTTCCGCAGACGACACGAGGAGGAAACAGGTGAGAGACTAACAATTTTGGTAACTTAAGAAAGTACAGTACACTGAGCCTTTGCCTATTGACAGAAATTTGACATCCCATCCCCATGTTAAAGTTTTAACCAGTTTTTGAATGAAAATAAACTTAAGTTGGATAGAGCCACTGACCCAGAGTTTTTGCTGATGTTTAATTATTGATTCCTGTTGAATACATAACTTTTTAATCAAGATAAACTGAAAGGACAGCTCATTTCCAAACTATAGGAAGTATCACCAACTATAATAGTAGCAAAAACGAATGGAGCAAATAGAATTTCAGACTATAGCACACACTTTGAGTACCGGTTGTTCATTTAACGATATTCAATTGGAATAAAAATGGCTTTAGCTGGTTCACATAGACGGGATTTCTACTTCAGTATCCAAAGGTATATACAGTACAACAGTCATCATATCAAATGTCCTGAGCTCAAAATTAATGGAGTAATAAAAAAAATTAGCTGAAAAAATTATTTTAGCGTTCAAAAATGTGATATAATGGGTTTATAACTTTAATTAATATTGATTAGATGTAAGTTAAGTGGTATAGGTAGCTGAGTGATGGCAGTGTATGCTTGCGAGGTCAGTAGGTTGGTGGGTAAATCCTGAGAAAAGTCAAACGCTTTTTAATGATTTGAAACTGGATAAAAGTTTTTCAGACCACTATAATTTTACTACAGAAGAGTTTCGATTATCCAACCCTCAGTTATCCAACCCTTCCTCTCAACGATTGAACCATGAAATTGCAAGCTATTTCCGTGTACATCGAAACAACCCCCTTTACTCGAAAGATACATACTGGTACAATGTGACAACTCTAGAGGAGTCACTGATTTGTCACTATTCCAGCAAACAACTTCAACCATACAGCAACACATCCTTATATCATATCTTTTCCCACTGTCAACGATTGTTTGTATGGTAGCAGATTCCGAGGCCGCACTGTCCAAGCTACTCCAGAGCCCGTGGAGCAGGATCTGTCAGAGGAGAGACTCCCAGCCAACACAAGGTTTCCTCCACGTAGCCGCTCCAACCACAACAGTAGTCCTGTCACCACACAAGCTACGCTGAGTGCCGACGACACTCCCATCACTAGGATCAGAGGTAACTGGAGGTAACTGGAGGTCACGGCATTGTCGAAAATATTTCTCAGAGTCTCATTTTAGGACTCTTACATGACTTTTCTGAGAAATTAATACCTGGTAGTAAGCTTCTCAGAACCCCGCCATTGTTTGAAATACAGTATGTTTAAAAGATATGATTTTTGAACTAAATGCAATTATAAATTTCTACATAAATCCATAAATAGTTGTGCACATTTGTCAGATTTCTCTTTGTATTGTCACAGGCAGTGTAAGACGCCCGAGCCTGGAGCTTGTAGACAGCAGCTCCTTCCGTACTCACTCCAGTGACGTCTCCCCAGACCAGGACCACACACAGGCTCTCAGCGACCAGGAGATCCCTCCTAGAGGTACTAGACCTTATGTGTGGTAACCTAAGTCAATTTGATTCCACACATTATCACAGCTCATTAGCCTAGTAGTTAATTGCAAAATGTTTATCCAAGTAAACATATCTTATTTAACATATGTGTTTTAAATCTTATCTCTATTTCAAGTACGCTGTAGTTTACTAATTTGTTTAACTCAGGCACGACTCAGACACGTGGACGAGTGAGGCCAGCAACCGAGGACAGTCTGTCAATCGCAGTTGTTCCTCCGTCGACTTTCAACGAGCCACCAACAAGGTTTGGAAATGAGCCTACTAGATACAGCGAGGCCACTCGTTTTGCTAGTGAAGCATTGGCCACAAGGTTTGGCGGCACAACTAGGGAGTCAGACCTGAACGAGTATGTCACTGACGAGCGATTGTCATCACAGCCCAAGACTACAGGCACTGGACTGACCAATGACGTTACTACTGAACACACTTCCACTGCCCCGACGGCTACCGGGTTTGTAGCAGGTGTGTAGCAACTGAGAAGTTAAATAGAACAATGATAGTAATGATTTTATATTTTTTCAATGTCATTGGTATTTTTTACGTTTTGTAACGAAACGGTAATTGTTGTATTATCAACCTTACAGCATGATTTTTTAATTGTGAGAATTTCAGGAACAGAAGTAGCTTTTCAGAGTAAAAATACTGTATTTTTGGAAGCACGAGATCAAAAGTGTACAAAATAAATCTTAAGTAAAACATCTAATGTTTTTTAACAATTCACCAAACAGTGGTTGAAAAAAATCTTTATTTCAAGTCAGTGTCAGTTTTAACTGATTTCATCCAATAACTTTTTAACGTAATAAGGCTCTTATGACCTGGGATGGTAGTAATTTCATTATATTTCATATTCAAGTTATAATTAGTAAAATTTAAAGGGATAAGAAGCAAAGTTCAGCTTTAGAGATTTTAAGACAACTATTTCACTGTAACATTACATTTTGTTAAACTTACTCTTACAAACCTTTTTCCAGCCATGACAGACAAGGCAGCTTTCGATCTCTACGCTTTGCTCAGAGAAACTGAAAACGAACAGTCGAATCTCCTGACATCCAACGAACACACCTCATCAGAGGAGGCAGAGACGACGGAACTAGAAGATGACTCAACACAACCACCAACCACTGTTGTTGTAACAACCGTCCCAACTACGACAACCACAACTACAACAACAACCACGACGACAACCACCACACCTGAGCCTCCGTTGGCTGCACTGCCAGGCAGAGGCAGGTATAAGGGCGGAGCGGGTGGACGTACCAGAATACGCCCTGGGTCTGGCTCTAGCACTCAGAGCTCCACCACAACCACCACAGAAGCCAACGAGGATGTCACCAAGAGAGCAAAGTTCTCTCCAAGCAGAAACCGGGAATCTGGACAGGTAGGTTAAAGAGATTTAAGGCATTAGTACCGGATGGAATGAATGAAAACCCTCTGTATTTCAACAGCCAAAGTCAGTGAAACATGTAGGCCTACTATACAAATTCAACCAACAAATGTTTAACACACACAGGCAGCAATTTTTCAAGCACAAAAACAGTCCGTTGCATTAGTCAATTGAATTAAAATTTTGATGAACTATGAACAAAATAGATCACAACTGTTGCATTTGCCGATGTTTTTGTCAGGTGTCCGCCTATGGTAGACGGGGCTCCAAGACAACAGCTGCCCCCGAACAAGTATCCAGCAGTAAGACAGCAGCAGCTGAGAGCACACCCAGGGCTCCAGGCAGAGGTCGCTACCGTGGTGGGTCTCGCACCTCCCCCGCCGCTACTGAGGCTGCCCCCGCTACCTCTCCTACATCTGCCCCCGCGCAGAGCTTCTCTCGACCCACTTTTGGTAGCGAGAGGTAATTCTCATTGATTATTCTAGGTTAGATTACATTAGAAATTGTATGACACAGGCACACATCAGGGTGAGCATTTTGAGACGAAAATGATTAAAGGAAGAGTTTTGAAAGGAAGATGTTAGATGTTAGCTTGGTTACTGGCTGATGGTTCCCTTTCCAAGATCAATTGTTGTGAGCCCCATGATCTAGGATAGCTGGTTCCAGTTTTGAAACATCAACAAAGTTTCTGACTTGGCTCAGGATTGAACTAGCAACCTTGATAGAAGGCGAGCACTATATCTACACAGCTACCAGCTTAAGGCGGAATTAACATGAATTTACACTACGATAGTTTACTTTTCAGTTCTATTATTGGTTTTGAACGTGCAGAAATCAATAACATTACTTTTCTAGATTTTCCTCCACTGAAATTGCTTGACTTTCTAAGCTTTGGACTCAGATAAATGTTTATTGTGTATTACATGAACCATTTTTATACTTGAATATTTCCTGATTAGTTTCTTGATGCTTTCCTAATTTTTTCACTGAACACAAGGATCATGAATATAATCTTCCTTGGATTAATAACAAGTTTATTTCTAGATATTTATATTTTACACAGAAAAAAAAGTTTGTACAAAATAAATGATACAGTGGGCCAAGATGTGAAAGTATATCATAAAATCAAAAGGCATATTGTCTGCTGTAGAAAGGCTAGAAAAGCTCAGTTAAAGGGATGCAAATGCTTAACTATGATTCCCACCAGGTTCAACCCAAGACGGAGGGGAAGTACTCGAGTGACATCAACAGTGGCTCCAGCAGAGACTGAGGATAAGGTGGAGCCAAGCGGAGACTCAGAACCTGGTGCAGACGACAGCGCTTCAGCCTCCTCTACAGCTCGGCCTACAAGGTAAGTGAGGGAACAACCAAAGAGCAAACCTTATGATTTTCCTTAGAAGTTTAAAGTTTTTATTCAGTAACACAAAGAAACACCATGATTTGTAGTGAGAGAGATGAGAGAAGAGGTTGATAGCTTTAACTGAATAATAATTTGTTGAAAACAATGAAATGATCAAGGACAACAACTAGACTTTCAAAGTTAGGTGTAGACAGATAATTACTATACACGTTCAAAGGCAAAATCGAAGTGATCCTGTATTCTCTTCATGGCTAATTTTCCCCGAGGCTCCTTTTTCCAATAAAAATCATATTTCTTCCCAAATGTTTTCCAATAATATACAACCCTCAATGTCATAGTTGACCATGTTTATCCTTGCAAGGGAAAATAAACAAGAAGTTGAAAAATCAAATTAACATTTTCTCCCTTCACTCTTCAATTGTAATGAAAATTGAGGAAGGCTTAACATACTTTTTGATATCCCAAAACGTCAAAACTCAAAACTGAATCAAGCAGTTGTGTTCAGCTTTTGTTAAATAATACTGGTAAGAGAATGGACTTATTTTACTAACTAACAATGCTACCGTCCCAGTCAGTTACAAAATATCACAATCATCTTGCACTCATCAAAACATTTTCCTCAGCATTGTATAGTGTGTCTATAATGATATTGTAAGATATTGGACCAAAGTTTGAAGAATATCAACTATCAACCAAGAACCTTATAGCCGTATGGAAGGTATATAACACATGCCATTATGTTCCAGACCCCGTCTAAACATCGGAGGTGGTGTGAGGCCTCTGAGGCCAGGCCCAAGGATCAACATCGGAGGACGAGGCAGGCTAGGAGGGCCGCAGACGACGGCAGCCCCAGCGCCTGTGTCGGAGGAACCAGTGGCTCCCGTCCAACAGTCCGAGCCTAGTGAGCAGCCTGAACAACCAGATGTAAGACATGTCCACTTTACTGCATTTATAAATACAAAACTTCTGTGACTAAACGTCACTTTAATACGACAAGCTACCTAAACGCAGCTAGATGCTTCAGTTTGAAGGGCTCTGAAGCATGAAATAGTCTAGAGTGCTCAAAACGCTTAAAATATAGCTGAAAGAGTGATTTTCCTACCTCAATCAGACTGCAAATGCCAACAAAGCTTAATTTAAAATCCATTTTCGTAAACTGTTTTGTCTCTTGTTTAGGATCTAACTATTTTGTTAAAGAATTAAGTAAAGGACCAGCTGTTAAAACTACAATAATTCACATTTGAAACTGTTATAAATAAAGTTGGTCAACACCACTGTATCTTTGAGAGCAAACACTAGAAATACAAAACAGTTCACCTCTCTTGCCGCTAATGCGGGGCAAAGACCTAAATGAAATTACTGTACCTTTGTAGTTATCATTTGTATCTTTGCTATATCATTAGCTTTAAGCTGATACCTCAATTGTAAATTATGTTAAGTAGGACAGATAAAAAAGGGAGATTAAAGAGAAAATCCTTATATACAAGTATATAGAGAGTATAATGTCAAATTGATTCGGCCAAGTATGTTTTCAAGTTCTGTTTGCCAAGATTTAGGATTGTTGTCACAGGCAGTTTAAAAATTCTTGGGATGAACATGATTTTAGGCAGTGTTTTACAACTGTTCAAATACAACTAAAAAGCATCACTTCTGCTATCATTTCTGCCACTTATGCACTTGTGCTTATGCTTGCACTTCTGTTATCAAGTTAAATAAAATTGAATATTTTGTTGCAGCAAACAGCAGAAACGACTACGAGTTCTTCAGCTGACGCATTGACGAGGTTACGTAACCGTCCCCGCCTACAGGTGGGGCCCAAGGCCAAGGTGGCAGCTCCTCCTAGTCCCCCCGCCAACCGACGTCCTCTGCCCCCTGGACTCCTAGGCAGACGGCGCCCAGGCGTCACAGAGCCTTCAACTGAGGCCACTTCCTCCACCGAGGCTGAAGAAGAACCTGCCGAAACATCAGACACAGTTCCAACAACCTCGTCAACTACTGAGGCAGCCCCACAGGAGCCGGCATCACGACTCTCCTCCCTTATTGGCCCCCGCCGTCGACTACCTGGCAGACGACCAGGCCTACCAACGCGCCCTGCCCCAGTGGAGGAGTAGACTTGCCAACAATTCAAATGAACAATGATGTTTGCTTGACAAACCTATCAGGTTAAAAAATCAAAATTATAAAACTAAAGTTGATTTTCAAAATTAAGAGAAGTGTCAACCGTGCCTTGATGTTTCAATGATGAACACTGACAATTTTTTTAAAAAGTGGTTTGTTATAAGTTATCACTTGAATTGAACACGAAAGTGGTTTTGAATTACTGTGTTATAAACAGCTTGGCTTATTTTATTTTAATACTACATTTAGTATGGTAGAAGACTGTATTATAATTTTAAGTGTTGCTCATCCCTACAGGTGGTGATCAAATGCAATGCATACAAATCAAAATAGCATATTTTTAGAATATTATTTTCTATGTCTTCATTTCCTATAGTGATTGTATTTGAGTAAGACATTTCAAAATGTCCAATGTTAAACTTAATTTAATTAGCCTAGATTTTTTAAAACCATATCAGATTTAGCGCCTAAATGTTTTCTAGTTTCTACTAAATTGATTGAGGAGTGCCTCAAAGCATTATTTTGTGTTTTGTGTCATTATTTAAGATACCTAAGACTACTCAATTGTATTTATAAACAAAACACTAATAAGTGGCGTAAACTGTAAACAAAATACACTAAGATATTGTTATTAGAGTGATGTATTATTGAGTGTATTTTTGTAAAAACGGCAGTGCCAATCTTTGTACATAATGTATGATTAAACGTGTATTAACTACATAACACTGTTATTTTATTTCCTACTCTTAATGCACTCTTTTTTTTTGTGTGAAATGAGTACGGTAAGTAACAAATTTCAGTAACCTTACTACCTACAGTGTTTTGTAAACTCAAACTCCTAATAATGTAGAGCTGACTTATTAATCAGAAGGTGTCAATTCTCACACCCACACACTGCTGCTGACTGAGTTAAGTTAAGTGTATGCTTGAAGTCTGACAAGTTACGGTAGTGCACGTTGGTAATCTGACAAGTTACAGTGTACGTGACAAGTTACAATAAGTAGTGTGTTTAAAGTCTGACAAGTTACGGTAGTGCACGTTGGGAAGCTGACAAGTTACAGTAGGTAGTGTGTGTTTGAAGTCTGACAAGTTACGGTAGTGCACGTTGGGAATCTGACAAGTTACAGTAGGTAGTGTGTGTTTGAAGTCTGACAAGTTACGGTTGTGCACATTGGAAATCTGACAAGTTACAGTAGGTAGTGTGTGATTGAAGTCTGACAAGTTACAGTGTACGTTGGGAATCTGACAAGTTACAATAGGTAGTGTGTTTAAAGTTTGACAAGTTACGGTAGTGCACGTTGGGAATCTGACAAGTTACAATAGGTGGTAGTGTGTTTGAAGTCTGACAAGTTACGGTAGTGTACGTTGGGAATCTGACAAGTTACAATAGGTAGTGTGTTTAAAGTCTGATAAGTTACGGTAGAGCACGTTGGGAATTTGACATGTTACAGTAGGTAGTATGTGTTAGAATTCTGACAAGTTACGGTAGTGCACGTTGGGAATCTGACAAGTTACAGTAGGTCTAGTGTGTGTTTGAAGTCTGACAAGTTACGGTAGTGTATGTTAAGAATAATTACTGAAACTACTGCCTTTAGATCGTGAATTTATTATGCTATTGAAACTATTGACTAGGTATACGTTTTGTAAAAGTCTACTGGTAGGCCTATATAGCCAATCTCCGTACTATGACCTATCAAAGTTGATGTTGCACAATACCCAACAAACGAATGAATAGGAATTAGTTAAAAGACTAAATTGTAGCAATACTTATATTTATATTTCAGTAAAAAAAGGTGTACTTACAAATAAAATACCCTGTTTTCGCTTTAGTCCTCATCAACCATGTACAAATGTCTACAAACATCTGCCAAGGGCAAGTCGCACACAGGCGGAATACCTTTGTCTCTGAACTTCACACTGTCTTGCTTCACTGCAAACTCGTCGGTGATTATTCGGTTGTCGTTCATCGGCGGAGTCAGCGTAAGGTTGATGGCAGGGTAGATACAGAAGGCGAAGAGTGCCAGTGTTACAAGCAGATGTACAGGGACAGCGATGGCCCAGTACTTTTGCGGCCAGTAAGTTAGGCCTACAGAATTGAGTGCATCGTCAGGCACAACCGCCCAGATGAGGTACATCCCAAAGGCTGTGTACGAGCCGAGGTATAAAGCAAACCCGTAGTTGGCTCGGCTTGGAGTGGGTGCTGGAGTACTCTGTGACATCACTAATGGCTGTAACTCTCTGACAATGGAGGCCCAAACTTGTGGATTGTCTCAGTTGATAAGATTACCATGTCCATGAAGGAATTAACTCCAACACGTAAACTTCTTGCATCTGGAGCCATAATTTCCCTGTAAAATTATAAAATATCATTCAACACTTTTTAATGATTCAGTAGGCTACATTGTTTTATTTCAATGAAAAATATATGTTTAATCAAACAAGTTTTGATTCTTTAGTATGTAATAAACAACAAGTTGCATTAAAGGAACAGATGGTAGTCATTAAAGATCATTATGTAGGCTGGCAGTATACTTTTGAAAGTTGAATCCCCTTAAGACAGTCACACTTTTATATAACAATAATATTTACTTTTCAAACCACATTTACCTTTGTTTGTACACTTTTTTGTGGATCCAGAGCATAAATACATTTTAAATTTCCAGGGCCAAAATGCATTTCATAAAATAAGCGTCTATCGTTGAAAATGTGGGGCCTAGGTTGTGGTCTAATTTAGTGGATATTTAAAACAATAGAATGTGTTACCCATTGTAAAATGACTGGCTAGTATTTATAAGAGTTTTTATTTTACTTTACTGGGCTACTTTAAGGAAAAGAAGATTAAATAACCTCATGGAACGGTCGACAATTTAACCTTAGACCCTGCTTTCTCATTTAACTATTCAATCTTCAAAGCTTTTTCATTTCATTAGTAGTACCGGTACTGTAGTCACTTTGTGTACTCTTGGACTACTTACGCAATTAATTTGTTGCCCTCGACAGACAGCTTCTTCTGTATCTGTTTCCTTCTAGGCTCTATGTCAACTCGAAGAGATTGATACACAATATCTGCCTCTCTCTCGCTGGTAAACGGTATCTCAATTTTTCTGTTCAATGTTAAGGACAGCTACAAGAAATCATGTTTAACAAAAACTGTGTAACATTATATTACAATGTTTTCAATGTTTACAATAACAATCAACTCTTGTATGACCACAGTCCCACAGAGCATAGAATAAATATGCTCTGTGCACAGTCCACATTAAGGTTGAATAATAAGCTAGGCCTAATTGGTATTTAGAAAGGTAAAACATATCACAGAAGCCTAATATCTGAAAGAACAAATCAAATGGGTTAGGCTAAGTTAAAAAATAGAAAATATGTGATGCTTACAATACAAAATAGGGATCCACGGCATAAGATGGACCAAATTTCGATAAACCTTCATTAAAGCTAGAGCAACGTCTGGTAGGCTAAATAATAATAGAATATAGGCTACAATAGTAAAAACTTTCTTTTTAAAAAGGATACATGTTCAAATCCTCTGTCATTTTCAATTAAAATCATACTTAAACACCTCACAAAATGCTAATAAATTTTTCAATAACGTGTAAATACGTTGAAGTTGAAATTTGAATTTGAGGTTAAGAAAGAATTAGGGATGAGCGATGAGCATCGATGGCCGATGTTTTCGAAACATCGATGTTTTCTTTCGATTTTCGATGTTTTTGCCATCGATAGTGAGCTAACGATGTTTATCGTACATCGATGTTTTGCATCGATGTTTTTAGAATTTTACTGTCATGATTTTTTTCAGTTTTATATATCTACTCGTATAAAACGGAATTGTTCTACGGTAAAACGGTTTTTAAAAATAAACCCTCTACTTTCAAAACAACAACTAATTTTGTTATTACAAGTACGCTACTAGAGTGGAGATTCTCGTAGGACCCGACTGTACTGGCGCTCGGCGAGCGAGTTGTGTACGCGACTGTACTGTGTTCCTGCGTTTCTCTGTCTTTTCTGCTATTTCAATCGCATTCGCAACATAACCTCTACTTTATACGAAACTATGGAATTTTTACTAAAACAATAATGTTTTGATCCAATGTCCTTTTTTTACAAAATTACGGAATTTTTATAAAAACATCGATGTTTCGGTCCGAATTTCATCGATGTTTAGAGGTCGATGTTTTCCACACATTGATAATTGATAATTGATATGGTTCGATGTTAACATCGATGGCCAACATCGATGTTTTTCTATCGATGCTCATCCCTAGAAAGAATAGCAATAATTATTATTAGCGATGCAGACGACGGTCCGGGTCCGTTCATCGATCTCTATTGGTCCGTTCCGTTGAGGTGTACAGTGAACTGAAGTTAGCTACCAAAATAGTGTGGTGTGTAGCATAGCATTGATTAAATATATCTCCCATTCATAATGTGTAATCATACAGTGTCTAATAGTGGATTTTTTGCCCAGTGCCTAATAACATAGATCTAATACCAAAGCTAATACGAATTTTGTGTCATTGTACTGTGAATAACTCTCGGACATTATGAGAGGGTTCCGCAAAAGACTGGGCATAGATATGAGAACACAGAACTCAGCCACGGCCACCTTTAACTCTAGGCCCCGGCCTTCGAAGTGGCAACGTCGCAAGTGGTGTTGTAACTGTAACAGCTGTTTTGTTTGGAAGCAGCTGGTGGTATTTGTGAATTTACGAAAGATTGGTTACCTACTGAACTATGACAATATTTCCTCCGCTAAAAAATGTACAGATATAGATTTTTAATTCATATTGTTACTGTTTTCAATTCTGTATGTTTTATTTTCAATATTTTAATAAATTTATCTTCATAAATTTAAATCAATAAAGTGCGAATGAATGAGCTGATGTCACCTGTCTGCCATGTTATCTTATGGGACGTCTGGCGCTAGATAATACCACTTGCAACGTTGCCAATTCTACCAGGCCGCGGCCTGTAGTTAAAGGTGGCCGTGACTCAGCACTATGAGACATTTTGCATTACAGAGCATAGTCATAAAAATAATTGCACAGTCATTTCCCTGGGATTTTCATTAAAACCTGAAATTTGAAATGTTGTTAAACTTGTTTTTACATAATAATACTAATAAAACGAAACTATAAATATCATTATGGTAACAGTTTTTATTTAGCTTTAAGTTGAAGATGCCTATGCAATCCACTATTCAATCACTACTGTATTTCATACTGTAATTAATTGTATTATCTTATGGAAATAAAGAGTTTTGATTTTGATTTTTTATGGATCCGCGGATAGAAAAGATAAATCCCCTTCGGCCTGCCTTTTTTATCGTCGGCCAATCGGGCCAATGGCAAAGGCAATAGTATCGAATTCACATTTCTGCTGTTTCTGTTTCTGCTGAATTCTGTTGCTTTGCTTGCGGTTCTGTTTGTTATTGTTTACTAACCTTAAAATTAAGTTGATCTCTTTTTCTTTTAACTTATCATATTACCCTTTCAATTAGGTAAAATATTTATTAATGAGTGAGTAGATAATAGTTTGGGAATATTGTAATTTTAAAATGAATTATAATCCAGGCATATTTATCTATCTATTGCTATTTCTTTTTTGTTTTAATTTTAAACCAACTTCAGCAGCATCTATCTTTGATTGGTTTTGGGAAAATTATGAGAGTCCATTTCAGTTTGGTAAAAACAACCAGCAGCAAAATATTAATAAACAAGAACAAAAAATTACAAACTTGAGAGATGGTGTTACTTTATTATCGGTTCCTTTTGAGGAATTGAGTCCAGAAGACAAGTTTTTGCAAGAAGCTGAAAGGTTTAGTGGAGTATCACTATCTGGCATTGACTCCTGTGAACATAGGGTAAGACATTTAAGAGAATACTAACTTAAGTAGTAAAAATAACACAATAACCTTAAAAGTAACATAGAGTATAATCTAACGCTAGGCGTTAGGCCAGGGCAAAATAAGTTCAGTGGCATACTGTCATAGTTGGGGGCCTGGGGCGGCTTAGATGAGAGGGCCTTTTAGCGAATTTCCCTATAGGGAAGTAGCTATTTTACATACATTTAAACAAGTGAAATAATAAATACCATAGTAGGCCTACCCTGTTTAAAATCATTTCATGTTTAAAATTATTTTAAACAGGGTACCATGGTGCTTATTAAAAAAGTAACCCTATAAACAGTGATTAGAACTAAAAATAAATATACGCTTTTAATTTATTTTGTATCACTGATTAAATGAGCTTACTTCAACTATTTAAAATGTAATCTAAAATTTTGTATTAGAGAAAAATTGAATTATGCTAAATTAAGTTTTCCTTTAAGTTTTTATGAGTTGTGGAGATTCGAAATAAGCACTTGAGTACTCCAAGAAGTAATAGGCCTACAAATCAGGTTTTTTTGACACTTATTTCAATTTTTTTTAATTTATGAGATAGGCCTACTATTTTTGTATAAAATACATTAGGTATATAATTATAATAGCCTATCTTTATATTATAAATTATATTTTACTATAATTGGTCCAAACTACTTCTGTGTTCGGGGCAAAAAAGAAGGATACATTATCCTTGGTGAAGACGAAATCGTGAGCGTCTGTGTTTGTGGGGTTGTAATCTTCGTCTCCCTCGGTCGCGCAGGTTATCTCCGAGACCGTGGAGCAATCGTAAACATGTCCTATGTTTACGGTGGAGTAGTGAACATCTTTTGCGGACGCTGGGATATATTCTACATGCCGAAATTGTTAACATCTCCGGCGAACGCTTGGACAACATTATCGTCCCCCGCAATCGCGGCGAAATCGTGAACACAGAACATCTTATGCGGTTGCAAGACCTTATTATCGTCACCCGCGATAGATGGGAGTCGTGATTTTCGATCGCGCAATCTTTGCAGACGCTTTCGGTGATTGTGAGAACAGATTATGATTATATTCAACAGCAAAATTTATTTTCCAACTTTTGAGACCCGAGTAAGGCCACTTCCTAGGCCAAGAGGCCCTCGGCAATGGCCGTGTTCGAAGTTAGGGGAATACGGCCCTGATTTGGGGGCCTATGTTGGTGTGGGGACTGGGGCGGACCGCCCCCGCCGCCCCCCCGTTACGCCTCTGAATAAGTTAGTCCCTGGACTCCCAAAGGTTGTTAACTTAATTTGGTTCTCTTTCCATTTTTTCGTTAAGACAAAGGGTGGAACAACCTTGGGAATAGGAGGCGATCATTAAATTTTATGTGAGACGATAAGTTAAGTTAGGGCAGGACAGCCCCTGGACTCGGATGATAATTAATTAGACTTTTTTGAAGACCATTAAGTTAATTTAGTTTTGAGTGCTAGACGAAGGGTGGGACTTAACCATGTAGTACGATTTAGCGTTATTAACTTAGCCTATAGTTTGACCCTAACATTAGGCCAGGGTGGAATAGTCCAAGGAATCAGAATATCAAAGTAATTTAGTTTTACTTTAACTGTCGAGGATTTAATTCTATAAAAACAGTTTTTACCAGTACCGGTAAGTTAAGGAATTTTAGTTGTTTTTTCCAACCCCAAAGAATCTGGGGGGACTAAGTTAACTTATAACGACGACTTTTTATAAAAGCGTCTTAAAGGAACATAACATGAGATTATTTTATCAATCATTAATAGCCCAACTTTGGATTTAAAGTCGAGTATTTCGACCATTCAGCTATCCAGGATAACAATTTATTTGTTAATATTTTTTCCTGTAACTTCTTATCTAACAGTAACTTAACAAATTAGGGGGTTGGCCCTATTTTGAAAACTAGTGCTTACATTTTCTGTCTTAGAAACAGTTTCAAATAAAAATGTTACAATTGTAAATACAGCAGGCCTAAAACAATAGATTCCATAGGCGTTTTAACTAGGATGACCCTAAGGAGGGGGGGGGGGGGTTAAGCCCCCCTGGAGGGTGTTCCATACCCATACCATACCTACCATACCATACCATACTATACCTGGAGGGGGTGTGGAACACCCTCTAGGGAAATGTTTGAAAATTAGACCTGTAAACTTGTGTTTTAGGCTATTTAGAGGCATAAACAGATTTTATAATTTGTAGACAAATACTTTAATTGTAAAAAGATCTTGCTTTAAGGTCAGGGCGGTAAATCCCCCCCCGATATGCCACTGTCTTTAATTTATAAAATATTCTATTCATTCATGTAGCATAGCTTGTTTTACACATTTAATTATTCTAGTGTGATTGATCTCACAATTATATTTAGGCTGTGATGAAAATACAAACATCATGTTCGAACATCAATGAAGAAGAGCTTGCTAAACTGAGCATTGGACTTTTAAACTGTCAGTTGGAAATCAGTGGGAAACCTCAAATAGAATGCACAGAAGAGATGGTGAGTGATCATGAGAGCCTTAAAACATTTATTTTTTCTTACCATACCGGTACTATTAATGGACTAATACATCCGTGTAAACAAATTAGCCTATATAGTCAATGCCAGTTTACTTGTTTACTAAAATAAAGTGGTTGGCCTTTTGTTCTCAATATAAAATAGTTAAAATCTTACATGTGCTAACCATAACATGTCAAGCGTACTCGCCGTTGAGTTTTTTGTGTACCGGTATGCCGGTGGCATTTTCAGAGGAGAAAAGAGAGAGAGAGTGCCATTCAAACATTTTTAGGGAAATTGATTCAAACCCTTATATGTTTTGTGGATGTACCGGGAATTGAATTTGAGGGCCCCTCTCTATGAAAGTCTACTTTAATGTCAAATGTTCATTTTTAAGGGAATTTGCGGTAGGCCTAAATATTCTGTATTGTCTGGCCTGAAAATAAAAATCCTTTGCAAGTTATAACGTATAATGTTTGTACATATATCACAGATGATAAATTTTAAGACATTAGAGAATTAGAATATCGTTAATTTATAACTAAGGTTATTTTATCAAATTGGTACCGACATTCCCTGTCTGTTTTTTTTCAAGAACCTTATAAATATTACAATGCAACTTGTGTTTTTAACTCTAAAATATGTCTCACGGGTTTTAATATTTTTAATTATTTAAATAAGTTGTATATCTCCTGTGATGTCAAACAAATCTTAAACGTCACCTGCAACTCTAGGGAATTGTGAACATCTTCCACAGTCGTATCTAACTGTAGTAAAGACATCATCATTGGCCTACGTAATAGCAGAAAACCACATACATCTCCTACGATTTCAATGAAATCGTGTACAGTTCTTGAGATTGTGATGAATCCTTAAAAGTTACCTGCGATCGTGGAAAAATTGTGAACATCTGCGGTTGTGGGAACACACATTGTCTTTTGGCAAGATGATAACAAATTTCCCATAGGCCTAATCGTGTTGAAATCGTGAACACCACCGATGTTTGTCACTTCTCAGACATTGTATTGAGTATTCACACTCTGGAAAACTCACGTCTACTCCACTGCAAAGTACTATCTCTATCTAGGATGATAAAATATGACCGGTGACAAATAAGTTTGTAAATTGTATTAGTGGTTCAGGCCCCTAATTGGCGTGGGCACCTAGGTGCGCGCTTATGTTGCATATGCTTGGATCTGGCCCTGAAGACCCGGTTTTTACCTTCTTTTCTCATAAGTGGTCTACAAGCACTTACATTACCCAAACACTGGTAGTACTAACAGTTTGGACCTGATTTCAGTCTTTAAAGGAGTGCACAGCCCCAATGGACAGTGAGACATGGAACGCTTATCATACAATCAACAACAGAGCTCGTGCAGTCTGCTACGCCACTCGTCAAGTACAGTTCCGAGCGCTCTCAGAGATGACAGTCAACAAACTCATGACTTCTGCTCTCAAACAGCTTGAAACCATGGATAATTTAGAGGTAAATGTGGAATAATTTTTGCTATACAATTCAAAGTAGCCATATCCAATGTTCAATGATAAAAGTGTCGAAGAATTTCACGATGGATTGGCCTCTCGGTCATTAGAATTAACAAATAATCTGTTAAACATTTGATTTATTAACTACAGCTTTTATGGGCTGCAGAATATTGAGCTCATCTTCAGGTCATAATGTCAATCATTTTAAAACCCCTCATGTAGTGAACATTGCAAGAAAAACACAACATACAAACCTGAAGCACAACATTTATCCTTCCACAAGCTCTGTGAATGTAAAACTGCTATATTTTCCAGTATATACTGCAACGGGTCCTTCCAGTACCAGTAACTCAGGTAGCATTGATCGTCCCAAGAACCTAAAACCTGAAGATTATTGGCACTGAAAGTGGTTTCTTAACCCTTTGAGTGCCAACGTCCGGGGAACCGGACGTTTTTAAAACGAGCCAAAAGTGCCGACGTCCGGCCGACCGGACGTTTTTAGAACGAGCCAAAAGTGCCAACGTCCGGCTGACCGGACGTTTCGTAATGATCGAACAGCTGTTATAACAACCGAACGGATACTCGGATTCTTTTAACCCATATATTAACATTGAGTCGAAAGTTACTAGATGCGATACATCGATTTTCGTTGGTCGAAATATCGAAAATTCGATTTTTACGAATTTTTTACCTAAAAACCGCCAGATCGCGCTCGGCATTTTTAGCGCGACCTTCGGGAAAAATCATCGGCATTTTTTGAGCGTTACTTTTATTTCTCGCCTGGCACTCTAAGGGTTAACTTGATAATTCAATCTGCTCATAGGAGCTGCAAAAGGAAATGAGTAAGCTGACAGAAGGAACAGTGGACTCTCTGAAGGCTGGACAGCAGGGACTCTTGGACCAAAACAGTGGACTCAAGCTTGCCACCTCACAAGTGCAGAACCACATTGTTGCCAACCTTAAACAGCTGACCCAAGAGAAAACAGTCATACAGAGCTTGCAGCACCAGCTACACTCCTTGTCCGAGAAACTGTCGGAAGAACTTGGTAGCTAAATTTTAAAGATTGGAGTATTTTTATGGGCTGATTTAATTATTTACTGTGTGTTAATGACTTTTGCTTTTGGTTCTGAATTAATTATTTGATATTGTGTGACAAAGTAGAGCATAAATCTCCCAATTCTTTAACTCGTCTAAATATCCGTATATTGTGAAGTTACAAAAATTTTGAAATAAAGAGAGCCGGATGAAGTATAAATGTATCCTAACTCAAAATAATGAGGTATTAGCTTATTTTCTTATTTCCTCAAACTACAGGATTGTTTGATTAAAAATTGAAACTACATAAAAAATGAGTGCTGCAGGTATAACTTTAGCTCAATTATCCTTATTCCATAATATTACAAAACTGGTATCTCATTTATCATTCTGATATTCCAATATTGCCATTTCCAGGCCATGTTGGAGTGCAGCTGGAGACCCAGAGTGAGCAACATCAAACCATTCAGAAAGATATTGTGTCCAAATTGTCTGAGATATCTGACAAAGCCGATGCTATTTGGAGTTCTATAGGTTAGTATATTGTGTCAACTAATGTACTACTGAACCTGAATAAATTAACTGTAAATTGACCAGATTTTTTTCTTGAGTAGTAGATCAGACAATAGTCTACGGTTTCAGTTGGAAAAACACTTAAAACTCTTTGAATCTTCTTATTCTTTGAAAATTCTTGTACTTTCACCTTTAAGCTGTGTCCAACATAACATTTGTGCAACACTTTTTTGCCCTTTAATGAGCTAAAAGCAAAAGTAACTCTGTGGAAATTTTTTTATCAAAACCAATTTTTGGACAGGCTTAAGAAAGAAAACTTTTTATATAAAACATGTTTGGTGGGAAAATAAAATGGTACCTCTGCGACTTACTGGTGTTGAGTCTTAAAAGCAATTTTATTCTATTTAAAAAGGTTTTTGTTAAACCAGAAACAATGTTCTAAAATAATAACTGAGAATTCTGCAACATTTTTCATCTTTTCATTTTATGTGTGTTCACTAGAGACGTGTAGAGGCCAAAATGTATTGATTCTTGATACTTATATATACCAATCTTCACAGATATATCTTGATGAGAGTGGTTCTCGATACCGATACCAATATTCAAGAATCTATGGTATCAAGAATCGACACACCCATAGTGTTTACTAAGTTTATTTCATTTAAAGATGAGAGAAGTCTAAAGCTACAAAAACAACAAGAAGAGATGAGGAAAAGTAGCCAAGAAACCATGGAGAATCTGAAGCGAATCAACGCAAGTGTCAACTACTTGCTGGCGATGGTGACAAGAGTGCGGACCGAGGTGGATGAGAAACTGACACAACTCTCCACGGCCATTGGTAGGTGAACTGTAAAACATTATGGAGGGGGGGGGGGGTAAACATGGTTTGGCAAAGCCTAATGAAAGATTGCATAACCTTTTGAATGCATTTTTTTTTGCAAGGATGGAAAAGATAGGAGTTAAGAGTCTGCTCTAGCCTGGAGGAAACAGTAATGAACCAATCATTCAAAGTACACCTTATGAAAATAAAGAAGCCCAGTTACATCAGGCATCAATCCCTTTACTAAATAAAGAAAGTGGAGTGGATAAGCAAGTTCACAGGGTTCCCAAAGTAACTACAAGGACAAAATACTGTGGCTGCTATCTAAAAGTGCTATAATAGTCCTAAATATCAGACTAAATATTAAGTTTTTTACTTTGGGAATTTTATATTAAAATACTTTTTCACCCCCCCCCCCACAACCTCCTTTGGGCATGCCCTTGGTTCTGACTACATTCATTGTGCATATTTTCATGCATAACTGAACTTATATTGTAATGAAGACTGTTGTATGTGGACCAGAAGAATATTCTTTTTGTTATTTTATTGGAGAAAAATCAAACTATATTTTATATCGTATATTTATCATCTAGAACAGTTGTTACATTCTAATTGCAATGGCATTAAACCAGTAATGGGAAAATCTTTAATTACGGTATTCTTTTGTTTGGTTCTTGATCTATCTTCCAAAAATTGAAAAATGCTAGACGATGTTGCATCAGAGATGTATACTGTATAAGTAGGCAAAGCCATAAATTATCTATTTTTATCTAAGTATAGTTAAATTTCTTTTTTAAGACTTCTATTAATATCACCTATTCTATTTTTCTAAAATATTATTATATCAATCAAACACCTTTTAAGGTTTTTTTTTCTCTTCAAATACAAATTCAATCTACATCATATGATGTGTTTTATTTCAACCTTTTACGCATGTATATAGTTAATTAGTTATAGTTAGTTAGTTTAGTTTTGCATAAAGAACTTTTTTCTTTTGTACATTTGGTTGTGTAATTTTTATATATGTGGTGGAATAAATTCATAATTCATTCATTCATTCATTCACTCCCTGACACGACAACTGTGTACATTATCTGTGTGTCTGTTGTAGGCGGAGACAGCCAAACTCTGATATCAGTGACTCAGCATATTCTGTTCCTGCTGACTGGAGTGTTGATCAGTTTGTTTCTGCAGCTCAGTCTAGCTTGCCGCTTCATGCTGTTGGCGGCTGTTGTGGCTAATATTACACTGGTCTATCACAAACAACCATTAAACTTCCTTCATCTTACTGGTGCTATTGCAGGTAAATCAATTTATTTTTGTTGTTGTTTTATTCTTGTTAAAACGTATGCACGGAAACCCTGACCTCTGAAACCAGGGAGGCAATTTTTTTATTAGCAATGGCAACACTGTTTGACAGCTGATGCTAGCCTTCAAAATACCTTTCCCCCCTCCCAACAAATTCATCTTGGTGCATCTATCACTCTCTGAAAATGTTGTTTGTAATTTTTATTTGTGATGTGGAGAAGATATATATATATATTTACTAGCTGACCCGGCTTCGTATCGCCTAAGTTATAGGTTTCCCCTAAGACAGACCGATGGAAAGAAAGTACCGTTACTTTTACGTTTAATTTTCAAGATGATCTCGTTCGCATCGCTCAATCACGTCCTGGTTGAAGTTCGTTCGCTACGCTCACTCACCTTTGGGTTGGAGCTCGTTCGCTACGCTCACTCACCTTTAGGTTGGAGCTCGTTCGCTGCGCTCACTTGCCTTCAGGTTAGCTCGTTCGCTATGCTTACTCGCCTCCATTTTGAAGTTCGTTTGCTACGCTCACTCACCTTTTGGTTGCAAATTAGCTGTTGTCATAAATGTAAAAGAAATAATAGTGCTGCACCCTGTTGGTAATCCTTGTAACTTTAATGCTATTGAACATCATAGAACAGAACCAACTTGTTTAATTGAAACAGCTGTTAAGATTCATTAATTCCATTTCTCATAAGGTTAACATGGGAAACTCCAGAGCCACTGGGGCGGAGCCTTTTTAAGAATTTCGAAACGGGAAATAGTTTACGTCCGATTCGCATACCTACAGAATCTACACACCAAATTTCATAACGATCGGTGAAGTCGTTCCGGAGGAGTTTGCAGACAAACACTGTGACACGAGAATTTTATATATTAGAAGATATATATATATTTTATATGACTGTTTTCATAATGTATACTAAATCAATGTATTTGACAATTATAAATTTTATTCTTGATCTTAGTCTTAGATGTACAGTATTGCTTCTACTATCCAATATTCAGTAATACAACCTACCATGCTATCCGACCTTTTACCCTTGTTGCTTATCCATCCTTCCCGAGGCTGGTTTTGGTGGATAATTGAGACTCTACTGTATGAGTTTATAATTTGGAATAACATTTCATTTTTCTGCAGGTTGGTGGGCAATTGCAGTTTTGGTTCCTATATGTTGGTCTTACATGAGGAGGCCTAAAGCTGGTGTTCATCAAAGTAAGTATTTATCAGCTAATACTTACTTGTTTAAAAACCTAATGAATGAATCAAAAGTATTCAGTAATGTCAAATGGACCTTTAAAATCACAATGGTAATATATCTGCCTAAGCTTACCTTAATAATTAAGAAACCTTAATACTTATTTTGATTTTGAATCAACAATGGAAAACACTCATAAGATGACATGATAGCTGGATCTAGTTTTTTGCCATTTACCAGTAACAAAATATATTTCAACACATTAATCAATTAAATATTAAAAAAAAACTTTTTCAACCAGCATTTCTTAATGACGACTGCACACAGTAAAGAATATTTGTATTCTCCAGAAAAAGAGTATCAGAAACTAGATTTGGACGAAAACGATGAAGATAACTTGTCAACAAGAAGCTCGTCTAGGGCGGGAAGTGTGTCGACTCGAGGTGATTTTGAGGAAGGCTCTTTGAGGCATCGGAGATGTGGAAGGCTGTGTCGCAACGGTCAGCTGTGTCGTGGAACACCCGTGCCGGGACTAGACACGTGCAGACGACACATCTCTGTCACCACGTAGTCAAACAACTGTAGCGTCTTAATAGTTGAAATATTCTGTGTAAATATATTCAGGGTTTAAGCTGAAGTCACATTTTGCAACACTCTGCCTAATATTGCAATAATTTATTAATTACGATAAGCAGGCTGTTATGATAGCAGAAAGGGTCTGCAAAGATTTAAGTTTAAACACTGAATGTATCATTATCATTATCAATTAAGATGGAGACGCTGAAGCTACTAGAGCCTATGTTAAGCCAAATATATGAATTGTAGAATGTGAGAGTGTAGAATGGGGTGAGATATCTTGTGTGGCTTTGTTACTGACTAAGATCAGCTGTTTCATCAGTCATGACCATTTATTAAAAGCCCGTTGATCAAAGGAAGCTGGGCCCAGTTTCGAACCATTCAAAAGCAACAGCTACACACTGTTCTTATCATTGTACAATTTGTAGTCAATGGTACTTGGCTGTTAAGAATAAAAGAATGAAGAGTTTATATAAGTTTGGAAGTTTATAAATAAACATGATTTTGATTTTAGTAGAACAATTTTTCAGGAAGAGATTTGGCTATTGCTACTGTAATCGCTTTGTTTGGAGAGTAATACTTATCTGTGTGGGTAGTACAAGAGGTTTCAATGCCGTTGATACATGATTATATTGTATCCACCAGTGAAGTTTGCTTAGTGAGTTTAATTTTTAAATAAGTTTACTTGTGTGAAAGTGGGAGAGTGGAGGTATTAGATTTAAAGTTTAAGGAAACAAATTTCTTTACTTCTATGTTCAAAAGTTTCTACACTTTTAATTTGTTCTAGAAAAAATTTCCTAATAAAATAGTTAAGACATGCTTAAGTCACATGATCCATTGTGTGCAATTAATATGTGGTATATATGAGACCATTAGTCTGTGTGCGGCTGGCTAAGGCGCGGGCAGAGAGGGGGGTGGATATTACTGGCGATATACAGTAGTGGGGGGGTCTGAGCCGCGCACAGTCTGATGGTCGCAACTGTAAGTTTACCACAGTTTATTAATTTATTTGTAAAGTTTTACCAAATCTTAGCCCCATCGTTCTTCCGCACAAACTACTGTGATACTTATGAAAATGTGCCTTAAACAAAAAAATACAAACTTCAAAGTTACCTGTAGTACAAAAATGTTATGATCTTTTTTGATCACTAGAACACTGTAGTGAAGGCCTTATTTATCATCGACATTGATCAAGTCATTTAAAAAAAGTTTTGCTGGCTCATTCATTACATCAGAAACGTTAAAATTAGCTTTGATTCAATAGGTAACTTAAGTCATCTTTAGTGACCTTAGTGTTGTGGCAATGTGACGGAGAAGTCACTTATTTGTAAACAATTTGAATTTAGTGTAACTGCATAACCTTCTCTAGTACAAGGCTGTGGCATTGGTGTGTCGCAACGATGCACTGGCTGGCCTGTTGCCATGGTAATAACAAACATAAACATTGTACAGACGCTCCATTATGAATTAGTGCAACAGCTGTTTCAGTAGGCCGGGGCTGCGGCATTGCCACTTTTGTCTCACAGCAGCCTTGTGTTAGAGGACGCCATGGTAACTAAATGTCAAAGGTGTTCAATATGTTTACATAAGATAGTTAAGGGAATTTCTTTTAAGGACATTTCCTTTGATAAAAAGTTCTTGGTTGTCAAATTCAGTCCTGATTCATAACTGCATCTTTACAAGGTTGTTTTTTAGAACAAATAAGTTTCTTATTTTATCTTACTTAAGTAAAACAAAACAAAACCGTTGTATATTTTGCTTTATTTCATCAAGACATCAAAGTACACCATAAATTCAAATGATCAAATATACCTTTTAATTACACGGTCCCAAAAAGAATGGATAAAATATTCAGTTTAATACCAAGGGTCATAGAAAAGTCAACTATGGCTGATTTTAAAGCTGGCATCTTTAAGTTTTTTTAGTTCTCCTCAACAGGATTCAGTTTGTTGGCACGTTTGAATTTTCAGAACATAAAGTTGCAATGGTGCAGTTGCAAGCACAGTGTAATGAATGGTATATAGAGAAAAAATCTGTGGTGTGATATTTTTTTTTCTGGCACTTGCCGATCTCAAACATAGATGAACTTTAACAAAGATGAAGCAAAGGGAAGCCTTTGAAATAATTTCTAATTAGATGCGCCACAATGTGTGGGCAGAGCTGGAACACCGACTTGTTCTTCTTCAAGCAAATAACGAAGTACATGGAGAGGTTAGGCGGTGAAACCAAGGTAGGAAAAACTTAGGAAGTTAAGGAAAATTTAAAATTTGTATATAAAGTTATTTTTTAATCTAAAGTGTTTACGCCAGTTTACTTTTGATCCATTCTTTTTGGGACAGCCGGTATTTTAAGTTATGTTAAATATTGATTAAGTGTTTTATTTGATGTGTTTTGTAGTATTAATAGTCCTTATAGTATTAGACAAGTAAAAGTGTGTTCTTAGTTAGTAGTTGCCAATAATGAAGGGTGCTTAATAAGATTTATTGTTTGAAATTTTATGGTTTATACAACTAGTTTGGTGTTGATGTATTGTTTTGGCAATGTCTTGGCAGTTATACACAATTTTATATCTACATAAATTATAGCCTACAGATATAATTTTTTAATTTTTGAATTGTGCAGAAATTTGTTTTTCTATAAATGTTTACAGTTAGATTTACTTGTTTCCATTAGTTGATTAGTTGTATGTTTTATCAACAAATCATTTTTTACACAATTTCTAATGATTTAACATTATAGGTAAGAGAAGTTTTTGTTAACTTTCATGTACAATTACTTAATTGTAGCCAGTTTTTTCCTTACTCCTAATGCTTATGTTTATTGGCGAGTGCCTTAAAAACTTCTCTGAATGTCGTTAAGGCTCATTACTCAAGTTACGTACACTACTTTACCTGGGACAATTATTTAATCACCAACAATCACTACTCATAACTTCTGTTATAAGAGAGATTATGTTTTTGTTTATAACCTCTCAGTGCCACTAATAGTGATGCAAGGAATCATTGATAAGGAATGTTATTAATTTTTGTGTATTTTTATTGCTCTCTAACTGCTAACAAAATGTGTTGTTACATAATTTTGGGTGTTTGTCTCATAAGATCTCTTTTGATTGATTTTATATATTAAGATTTTGTGACATTTTCTGACAAATACACTCTTTTGTTTTTATTACAACTGTTGTTATAATTTCTCATCTTTTGTCAGTTGGCTGTTCAACATAAAGTTGATAGCAAATGGAAATTACATTGTTTATTAGAAATGATCGGCAGTACGGTCAGAAATGCGACGCAGCCTCGGCGCGCCAGTGAATCAGCGAACGCAATAGCATTAAAATATTAAAATATTTCAGTATTGACAGCGGTGGTGAAGGTGCTGTGTTACCCCAATGGTGGACGTAGTTCACTGAAAAACTCACAGATAGCAGCACTGCCTGGATCCGTAGCCAGTGTCTTTGTTTGAGCCACATAGAGAGAAAAATCCCTGAAAACGGGACAAAAAGCGTTGCCAGACAGGATTGTACTACCAACCTAAACCCAACCTACACCAAATTAAAGTATAGGACCAGCACAACATGCTGACATAGTTTAGTTGTTCCCTGATAAATGCGGAGGTCACAATAGACCAACTTGTATAACACTGCACCGTTACTCCGACCGGAGTCGTCAGCAGCAAACGTATTAAAGTCACTTCTACCTTCAAATTTGTGATTAGGTAAACTCTAGTTACCGTACTGTTCTTGAGAGCTGTATCATCAAATTAATTAATAACTACATTTGATTATTTACAGCTGGTGGAAAAATTAAGTGCACAACCCTCTCCACCAATTAATATCTTCTTCACTGAAATATAAAGTAAGAGGTAAAATATGAATGATTGATTCAACAGCATTAAAATAAATAGTTTAATAAATAGTTAATAAGACCACAAATGATTTGAGCAAATGTTAAACCATTTTTGTAACTTAGTAATTAATCATAAACAAGACTAACAATATCACAATCCAGTATAGGATTACAATGCATATCACATTGAAAGCTCAAGTAACTCCCACAAGCTGTAGATTAAACATACTGGGCAATACACAAACAAATAAATTAAAAATTATTATCACAAACAATTCATAAATTATTAAAATACAACAAACAGTTTGTTATCAAGGAATTGTTGCAGTTCCCATTACGACTTCCCATCCCATCCCATTGTAAATTTTGAAGCTCGTTTTTCTAGTTTATGTCTGGTGACACTGATTACTTTTATTTGGTTAAACGAGGTTTTTACTTACTGATATAACAAGAAACAAATTGTAAACAAAACACTAGATCTACAGTGCACCGGACAGAACTAAAAATAAAATTGGCTTCAGCTGTTCCATAAGGATGAGAAATCTACCAAGGGAGAAAGTTTTTCTATAACATAACGTTGCTTGCAAGGCATCATGATCATACATATACATACATACATATATGTAGGGCCTAACTACATATCATATTATATGTACTTATGCCCCTTCATCTTGCAAGCATCGATAAGTAAATCTTCTTCAAGATACATTACAAGACAAATCATTTTCTACCAAAGCCCAGTATATTTTCTCTACAGTCATGTAGAAAATAAAGAATAACTATGACAATTGATAGATATCGAGTATTAAGTAAATAACAAAACATAACTTGATAGTTACATTATGATTGCACAAGATATTTTTGGCACTTATAAGCGTAATTCCGAATGGAGACTTGATCCATTTTTTATAAATAGATTCCATTAGTAATATATAAGACTATTCAGTACATTGAGATTCGTTGCAAATAGAATCGTAACAGGAGTTTGGAAACTAGTTCCTAGTTAAATATAAAGATCTTTTAAATTATTTAAAAAGCATTACCAAATTTAACAATGCTTAAAAATATTATGCTATAGGAAAATAGTAAACATAAAGCAATATAAAACTTTTAAGTTAATCACAAATACCTGACATTCCTATTCAAAATGCAGCAATTACAATTTTATAAAATATTGCACATTTTATAAATAATAGAAGTTTTATGAACGAAGGAGAGTTCAGCTTCGTACCTGAGAAACTTAAGCCAAAAAATATCACAAGACAATAGTGGTAACAATAGTATTAAGTACTAATTTTTTTGGCCTCAGGTAGATGTGTTCTGGTAAGCTAAACTCTACGCCTTCCCACAAAAAACTCCTTCAGTCACTGGCTTTCACTTAAAATAATATCATGGTGAAACAACCTCTGAATCACTGAACTAGCTAAAGTGTTTTAGGTTACCTTGCTCTGTAAAATAAACTTAGATTTGTACTACTACTATAATTTCAGACTAATAGTGTTCATCTTCAAGCGCGACAAAAACATCAACTTGGTTGGATGAATGATGTGTTTTTTGTTGCACTTGAAGATGAACTCTGTTGGTCCAAAAACTATAGCAGTGTTACTACAATCTAGGATCACTTGACAGAGCAAGGTAAAATAAAGCCATTGAGCTAAGGCCCCGTTTATGCACCAACAGCGGGCCTGCTCCCGCTGTGGTCAAAATTGTGCAAGCGATAGCGGTAGCAGTTGGAGAACGGAGAATGGAAGGGGGACACAGTCTTGCCAACTCAAACTCTGCCAAATAATTAACACAACTATTTGTCCTAAGTGCACGTGTGCGTGGGTCAAGTTGGCAACCCTGGCTGCAGCCGCTTCCGCTCCCGCCGTGCATAAACAGTCTCGTTTGACTCAATGTAGTTATAAACCGCTCTATCCCAAGCAACCGCTGCGGTTTCTAACTACACAGCGGTCGAATTAGAAACCGCAGCGGGACGTCAACCGCTACCGCTATCGCTCTTCGTGCAAAAACAGCCCCATTTAACTCAATGGTGTTGAAAATCGCTACCGCTCCCGCTGTTGGTGCATGAATGGGGCCTAAAATAATAACTATATAGTTAAAACCACTCCCCCCCCCCCGCAATAATACGACTATCATACACATTCCTCACAAATCTCCCCGAAACTTTGAGGTCTATGAATCATGGCTGCGTCTTGTATCTCCTCCCTCGTAAACTTGGATTGATGTTTGTTTGGAAGTATGTCAGGGGACTTATTCGTGAAGGTTGGTTCTACTGACTCTAGTGAGTTGGTAGTACTGCGGGATCTCTTGCAGACTCTCTGTGCCTCTTGAGAGATGATGATCTCATTAGTGAGGTAAGCCTCTCTTCTGATTTGCTCACTAAGCTTGGCTGGAATGTCTGGAATGAGCCACTGCACGACCAACACCAGCACCACCACCAGGTTCTGTTGAAGCCAACGGTTGCTTTTACATGGTTTATAAATACAAAAAGTCAAATATTATTCATCATGCGGCATGCTTCGACTTGTTCAAAAATAGCTCTCTTGGGCTAACTTTTCTCAATTCAACAAAGTGTCTTGTTAGCACAAAAAGAAGCTATTTGAATCCTGGAAATCCTATAATCATTTAAATCCCTTTTATACTTAAAATACTTACTAGAGATTGTGTTAAATAGAATGGAGTAACACTGTGAGACACACCCCTAGGTATGATATTATACCAATGGGAATTAACTGTTTGGATTGCAAAATAACAAAAGTGACGGTGGTGGGAAATAGGTACTTGTGTGCATCACGCTCGCCACTCTAATTGACACAATCTGTACTACTGTTACTAACTGAAGATGCTTAATGTGGTGTTATTATACGTATTGAAAGTACTCTGCTTTGTCTCACAGTGCTACTGTGGGTGGGAGGAGGGTAGGATCTGCTTTGAGGTAGGATCTAGCCGAGGACTGTTTAATCTCCAGGCTAGGCATAGAGCGTTGCAGCATTTTCCCATAGGCAAAGGCCGGTACTGTTGCGATTGGTGAGATTTGCAACTATGGGAAACATAATCGTATAACACAAATAATGCTGACATATTTGCACCACCAATTTGACATCTTTCAGTAATTGAAAAGAAGCCAAGCGACATAGGACGCAAACTTTTCAACTACTTCCAAACCACCTTAAGGGAATAATGAAGGAAAGACGCTTCAAGAAAAAAAAACACCAATAGCTCTAAGAGATGACATTATACAATAATAAAGGATTCCAAACTAGGTAATGAAAAACACCCCAAATGATGTGGCTACCTTGAGGGCAAAATCATCTGGAAAAATTATTATTCTGAATAACACATGTTTACCGATCTACAAATACTGTATATAGTTTTTAAGAGGAGAGATATTTCAGTAACTGCAAACAATAATTTAACTTACCTCAAAAAGAACAACAAAAGCCAATCGAGCCGCCAGCACGTGCCAGTACATCGTGGTCTTCTCATACTTGTGAGGCGACCAAGGGGGTTCACGGTAGTCACTGAACCTACAAAGACAACAGAGCGTTCGAAACTGTGGATGACTTATATATTAATATATACACATTGAGTTTGTTAGACATTAGCATTTTATGGACTAAGAATTAAAAAATATATGTATTTTTTTCATTATTTACAAGGTTACAGAATTAGCTTGAGCATATTTCAGAGAAGATTTATCATCCATACAAGATAGACATTTATACAAAACATATACATTCCAAGTTAAGAATGCGCTACTGTAAACTATGCAGCTACTGTCCTTACATATTTAAACACAAAATTGTTGTTCAGATTTTTAAATTCAGAAAATATGTCACAATTTTCATTACACCTAAGAGTTAACTGGAATTCCCAGAATATTACTGCCTATCTTTATGAAGATTATTTAACTCCATCCGGATCGTCCTTAATCTGAAATACTTGGATCCCCAATCACACAATCAGTCCTGATATTTTTTTTTGTACCAACGAGTTTTTTTTCATTGTTGTCTACAGCTACTTTTAGTTAAGCATTACCTGCAATACTGCAGAGAGGAGTTAGGTTTGCCCTGCATGTCCAGATCTCGCACATCAACGTAAGCCAAGGAATGGTTCATATAGCCTGTCAAACTGTGGTCAGGCGAACTCATCTTGTACAACAACCTTGGCACGAAATCCGAGGTGAACGCTATAATAAACCCCTGGAAAATCACATGTTTTGTTACATCATGAATATTGCGTAAAGCTGGGTTTTGATATGGTTAAAGAGACTTACCAGTGGAATATGCTAGTAAAAATGAGTAAATTAAATGTGACACTTAAATATTTGTAAAAATGTGATAATGTCCTTGTAAAAGGCAAGTATTAACAATAATTTTGGGGAAGTAGTAAGTGTTAAGTGTTAACTTTATATTTAGTTATATCATCGACTTTTGGATACTGAAGTAGACATTCTATATAATAAACCAGCTGATCAAAAATCTTTTTTTTATATTTGAAAAACAGAAAAACGTTTGATAGTATTTGAGAACAAAATATTGAGAAAAATATATGGTCCAACCTTTGAAGATGGAGAGTGGAGGATAAAACACAATGCAGAGTTGAGGCAATTATATATGGACCCAGACATAGTGGCCGAGGTGAGAGGTAGGAGAATGAGATGGGCTGGCCATCTACTAAGGAAAGAGGACGACACCTTAGTCAAGAACGTCCTTTTGAACAATCCGGAGGGCAGAAGACCACCAGGAAGGCCCAAGTTGAGATGGCGAGACCAGGTTAGAAAAGACCTAAGAATACTGGGAAGAAGGGAAGATGAGGCAATGGATAGAAAAATCTGGAGGCAGTGTGTTGGCGAGGCAAAGTACCACCTTGGGTACCAAGAGCCACGGCAGTAAGTAAGTAAGTAAGTATATTTGAATAAGGCACTCACAGAGTGTGATGCTGTCAAAAATCCTGTTTTCACCCAGAGTTCATATTTCAGATATTGAAAAAGATCAGATATTTCATATTTCAGATGTTCTTGGGGCTTAAAAGATGCTATAGCCATTGACTATACAGCTTACAATAGTAACAACAGTACAATAGTAGCAATATCAGTTTGATTTGGTGAAAAGCCTAATCGAAAAAATCAGTTATTCAGATCAACACATTCTGTTAGTAGCTAAATTCTGCGTCCATTTTTGTTTGAAAGTTGGAGACAACACGAAGAGACCCAGACAATACTACTCTACTAGTTAAAAAATATGCAAAAACACTCACATTAGTGATAACGGCCAGTTTGGACACAGAGTCTAGAATGTTGAACCACACTCCGATGTCCCTGACACGCTGAGCCACCGGTCGTCGATGGTACGTGACAAGCTTCTTGGCGTCCAACCGGCTCTCCAGGATGTTGTTGAGCAATGCAAACAATGGCGCCAGAGGGAACGCAGACACAAATATCGTGACAAACCCGTACTGCAACACTGGACAGGGAAATGGTTGTTAAAATAAAAGATTATCTAAGAGGACAAAGAGTGCAAAGGAATATGTCTGCAGTTTGAGAAATAATATACTGTATATTAATAGGCAAGTATGTTTATTGACAACCTTTTTTGTTATGTCATGTACTGTGTTTTGTGTCCTTTGTGTGTGATCTGTTTGACAAAATCGCTAGTTGGATTATTTAAGTTCCTGATGAATATGATTATGGTTTCTTAGAAGTCAAAACTTTGCCATCTTGATATACTACTGGGATGAGTCAGGGCTACAACAGCAAATTTGGTATGTAAATTGAAGGGGAGTCTAACATTGTGGAGACTGGACTGGAGACACATACCCATCTCCAGATACTCCGGGAACAAGGCCTGAGATCCCCACTCTACCAGCTTGTAGTCCTTCTCCCACTGAGAGGCTCGACCCTTGGCACTGCGCTGCTTCAGGTGTCTCGAGTTCCACCACTTCCACACGATCCTGGGAACAACCAAACATTGCTTTTAGATGAGATTAGACTTCATTTATGAGGCTGGCATACCAGGATGTTTGATGAATGCATCTGGTGACTTTTTACTTACTATAATCAGTTGGTTCATTAGCACAGGTGTCATTTATTAAAATAAAGCCCAGGCAAGGACAGCTTGACCCAGTTTCAAACCATCAAATTTTTTACTTTTTGAGGATCGAACCGGCGACTTCTTAAATAGCATGCGAGCGCTGTAACCACTCTAAGTCTTGCATTAGAAGGTTAACTGATTCAAGTGAATTCTTAATATTTAGATTTCTTTAGTGAAGATATAGTTTACAGCTAGCGAAGTGGTGTTTTATCTAAGTCTAGCATTAGAAGGTTAACTGATTCAAGTGAATTCTTAATATTTAGATTTATTTAGTGAAGATATAGTTTACAGCTAGCAAAGTGGTGTTTTATCTTCAAAACAGTAAAATTAGAAAATACCTTTAAAAAAAATTATGTATCAATGTCTTATTCAATTATTCGAAGGTCAGAAAAACGATGATAAAAGTTTAAAAGTTCTTCTTGTAATGACGTAGTTTGTGAAAACTTACGGATACACCATCTCCAGACAAGAGTTGAAAGCTTGTTTTCCAACCATGATGATGGCTAACTGTATAGACAACTCCAACAAACAGCCTCCAGGACCACACTGAAACATCAGGGCTGCATGCTTCAGACTTGAGACAGGCAATAGACAATGTTAATTAACGTAAAAAGTACCAAGGCGAAGTTCTATCCATCCACTGAAAAACCGAAACCAGACTGTAAAGACCAAAATGCTTGGATGAGTTTCAACACTCAATAATATCCATTTAAGAGATGGTTTATTAAAATGATTATGAGTTAAAAAGGCTTTTAAAAACTTGTAAAAACCTAAACAGCTGAGCAGTAAACTGCATTGTTTGTTTACTAAAGATAAAGTTAGTTTTGATAGTTTTAATGATAAGAATTTGGTTGATTGTAAGGATATAAACATACAAGAGTATGAAATAGTTAGAGGACAATTAACTGTTTCAGATGAATTTTACCCTCTTTCGAATTAAAATCGTCTGGGTAGCCAAACATGTAATTAAAGTGCTTGCCATAATTAAAAATAAAATAAATAATAAATAACAAAAATTACACCAAAATTATTAGGGAAATTTTTATTTGATTCAGGATAAACAGTCAGGCACCTTACTATAAAACTGGATTAAGAAACTTGACCATCCTTAACAATTTATTAATTCCATTAAGACAGTGATACAGTAACGAGTAGTCTAAGCTAAATGTGAGTATGAGTGTAGAATGGAGTGAGGTGCATTATGTTGCTTTTTTGCTTACTAAAACACTAAAACCAGCTATATTGTTATCTAAGATCAAAAGCCCAATGATCAAATACATCTGAGTCCAATTTCAAACCACCAAAAGCTACTGACTTTTCTCAGGATCGAACTGGTTAGGTTACCTTATCACTTATCATTTGCCAAGCATTATAACCCTTCAGCTAACCTGCCGTAAAAGTTCACTTTCATAGTCTTCTCACCTCCTCTTGGCGATATCCAAAAAGGCGGTTATACTTTGCAGGAAATCCGACCAGTTTCCCCTTGCAGAAAGCGATGTAGAATATGGAAGCATAGTAGTTGACAAACTGCAGCAGGTACATCTTGAGTGTGAGAGAATTGTCAAACTCAGTCTGTGTCCGCAGCATCTCTAACTCCGTCAGGTACTCGGCCAAGTACGTGTACATCTGCAATGAGTCAAGATCTGGTTCACTCAACTATGGGCTATTAATTAACAGCTGTGTCTAAGGAACATGTCGGCCTTAGTCACTAACAAGATTACAAGATTGTGCCACTCATCCTACAGTCCAATCATACTTGGTTTAAAATACCTACATTCGTAAGGTTGCCATTTCAGAATAAAGTATTAAAGATTTGTGGTCAGGCAACATTGTGTGAAAATAAATTAAACATTTCTATTCACCATTCATTGTTTCAGCCTCACTGGATGTAATAAGAGCAGTTTGAAGGGAAAGGTCAGATGTTATATCTGGGGTAAGGGGAGAGGGGTAGGACATCTCAGTAATGTACAGCGAGGTGTCTTAACCCATTGGACTATGAATATTTTTGCATAAACCATTAGTGAGTTATTCTATTAAAATAAGGCAAATTGCTGAGTTTAGCGGAAAAAATCATAATAAATTAATCTTTTTGAATACTTGCATATATATTATATTTTTATGGAAGTATATTAAACTGGCTATAATAATAATGAGATTTTATAGTAATTACACTAAAAAAAAAAAAATTACAGACAAAAAAAAATAAAAAATAAAAAACAAAATTTTTAATTTTGAAAGCACGGTTGTTTTTTTTATATTTAATAATTTTATATGTAGTAATGTACAGTATACAAACTGTAGATATTTTAATTCCCTACGCAAAAAAAATTAGTTTTTGAATTTCCTTCAACAAATAAAATTTTTATTAGGTTTTTTGTATATCCTTACATTTTGAGAAAACGTGTTATATTGGGACCGAAAATCAGCCAACTGCAGAGTTTAGCCAGAAATTCATAAAAAATTCATCTTTTTGAATATGTGCATCTATATTATATTTTATTGGAAGTATATTAAACTGGCTGTAATAATAATGAGATTTTATAGTAATTAAACTAAAAAGAAAATAAATTACGGACAAATAAAAAAAAATAAAAAAATAAAAACAAATTTATTTTAAAAGCACGGTTGTTTTTTTATACTAAATCATTTTAAATGTTGTAATGTATACTATAGAAACTGTAGATATTTTAATTCTCTATGCAAAAAGTGTTACTTTTTGAATTTTCTTCGACAAACAAAATATTTATTAGGTTTTTTTGTAAACACTTACATTTTGCAAAAACGTGTAATATTGGTAAATGTAACACATAATTGCAAAATATTGTTTACAGTCACATTTTCTGAAAATTTACAATTTAATACAGTTATAGGTACCTAATTCAAATAAGTTAGGTAAATTTATTCTACTACAAAAGATACAATATTTGACTATGGTTACTTACCGTACCTACGTTGCTAGTTTTCGGTGTAAATCATCCTTTACTGTAAAATTCACTGTTCTATTAGTGTTCACTTGCTATCCAATATAACTACACTATATTTACACTATTTACATCCTTCTTCAGTTTATGTCTCTAATAGTCTGTTTTTGTGTGATATGCTTCAAAGCAGTTCTCCAAATGCAGAGCTACATCACACTTCTGACACATCCATCTGACTTCTGACCGCTTCCCGTGTTTATAGCACACCTTGCAATTTCTTGAAGGGAACTTTTTGCTCGCAGTTGGTGGGATTTGCATTGCAAAATGTGCCCACTGCTTGCACTGCAGTCTTACCGGATTGTCAAGAGAGGGCCTTCCGGGGTTGGATTTCTCTGGTAGAACAATGTTCTTCAAAATTTCTTCTATGAGATTTAGGCGGTAATCCCGGTAATGCATGTCTGCACGGTGAATTTTGCGCCAAATGCAAAAACTGTTGAACACAGCCATGTCTATAAGATAGAAGAATATCTTCTTATACGCCTTTATCGTACGACGCATGATGGGAAATGATGCCAGTCTTTGGTCTTGAACATCAACCCCAAGCATACCATTGTTATAGTCAATGATACACTTGGGTTTCATAACTACTGTTGTTTTCCCTTTCCTCACTATCTCTTTTGCCACAGTCATATCTATTTCTTCATGTATAGTGGATAGCATTTGGATGACTTTTTTATCCCTCCATTGCACAGCTAGGATCCCATCTTTGCTCATACGTTTGGCATCTCCTACCTCAAGCTTGGGTGTATCGAATTCCTGGGGCATGTTTACTCTTGGCTGGTTAGCTGTGCCAACTACATGGGTGTTATTTTCCAGCAATGCCTTACAAAGATCTGGCGAATTATACCAGTTGTCAATGTATAGGACATGGCCAAGGTTCAAAATGGGCTCTGCTAAATGCAGCACAACCGCTGAGCTGGCTGGCATATCAGAGGTTTTGTCTGCGCCTGTATAAATTTTGAAACCACTGCAGTATCCACTGGATGATTCGCAAAGTTTGTAGATTTTAATTCCAAATCTAGCCCGCTTTTTTGGATTAAATTGGATGTAGGACAACCTAGCTCTTAGCTTTACTAGGCTTTCATCTATTGCAACATTTTTCTCAAGGGTATATGTATTCATAAATTTGTTTTCGAGGTATGATATAACGGGTCGTAATTTTTTTAGTTTGTCATTTGGATCTGTGTAGTCACTGTCTGAGAAATGTAAAAATCTAGAAATTTGGTTGAAGCGAATGAAAGACATTACCTCTGAAAAAATCTTGGTTTCAATTATTTTTCGTTTTGACCAATACATTTGAATTGATGGCTTTTTCACCTGTCCCATCAACATGTATAAAGCTAAGTACACTTTGATTTCATCTACATTTACAGGAGTCCATGCCGCCTCATAAAGTTTTTTGTGCCGATTCGGATCAGACAATAACTTGTTGGCATAATCATTCGTTTCAGTGGCAATCATAGCAAAGAATTCCTCACCTAAAAATTCATTCATGCACTGTAGTGCGGTAGGGTTATTTCCCAGTTTCCTACTAGAAATAGGGTTCAACCCAGGCGTGTTTGCGAAAGGGATATTTTTAATTTTATTACTGCAGTCTTCCCATGCCCATCTGGACCTAGATTTTTTGCTCTGTTGTTTGGGCTGTTTAGGAGCACCTCTCCGCTTCCTAACAGGTTCTTTTCCTTTGCCCTTTGGCTTTCTTTTCTTACTGGTACCAGTAGGCCTACTACTCCTTGACTCACTAGTACCAATACCAGTATTCTCTTCATCTAACACCATTTCTTCCGAATCATTAGGCCTACCTAAATTTGTGTCTACTACTACTAGGCCTAGGCCTACTCCTTCAACCAATGTTTCATTTGGAATAGGTATGTTACCAATATCTCCTTGCCCCATCTCCTCACAAACTGCTCTGTCAAATTCCCCTAGCCCTACCTCTTCATATTCTACCTCTAATTCTTCGAAATTTCCAGAAATATCTTCATCACACTCTCTAAAAACCTCATCAACGTCAATGAAACTTTCGCTGTCGGAGTCTTCTTGACCTAGGCTTACCTCATCAGTCCTGATGTCTAGGTTTTCTGCCTCCTCGATCCACCCACAATCACTTGATGTGTTACTGATAGCATCGTCGTCGTCTGGTCCATCTAACAATCGATCAATTTCACTCGAAAATATTGAGTCGAAGTTATTTGAGTGTCCTGCCATTGTATTGTAAAAGGATTACATCACGCACTTAGAACAACTTTCACGAGATTTTCACAACCAACAACAACTTCAACTTCACTAAACTGTTTACAAACAAAGAGTAACTGTTTACAAACAAAGAGTGACGAAATCATAGAGCTGTATTCCAGCTGGCATAGTAACTAAAGAGCAGAGAAGTAGAAAGTCAAAGACGTATAAACAAAAACATGCTCAAAGATTATACGATAATAAAAATCCTTGTTCAACTAGACAAAGGAAAAAAACCTACTCTAGAATCGAGTCCTAAATGACGTAATTTTGGAAAAAGTACATTTATTTTTTTTTTATATATAACCTCACATCCTTATTAAAGGTTATTAATAACATTTAGTTGCGTAAACAATTAAAAACAACCCTAAAAAAATATATATAAACATGATGTCGTCATCACGGAACAGTTCCGTGATACGAATTTTGGACCCGCAACAGCTGTCACGGAACAGTTCCGTGATACAAGGCCAATGGGTTAACAGTCTGCTAGTTTTTGCATCAATACTAAAAACCCGCAGGGCGCAGAGTAACTAAATAATCCATCAGCTATATTCTATTCTTGTATGTTATGTTTCTTAATAGTAATATTTTATGGTAATACAGTGTAATGAGTGAAATTTTTACTTTTATAGTACAAAGTCGCAAAAACTCACCCAATTAAAGACGAAGATGCAGACCAGGTTGATAGTAGCTGCAGTAGTGGTGGTGATGATGATGGCGTAGCTGGTGATAACAGAATCTCCGTAGACACTCAGGGCTGCCAACACCGACATGCGATACAACGTGACCCCAATCACTGCGGCTATGGCCAGGGACACCTGTAAATAATTCAAATAGTATTGTTAACTCAACCTCATAAATTGAAATGTGGTTGCTAAATATAGTTAGGTAAACATTTTTGCTGACTTGCTTAGTGAACTTTACTGGGCATTAACTCACCAACAACAGTACGACTGAAAAGCTGAAGATAGTCGAGGGGAACCTCATTTTCCAGAATGGCACTCGGGGCTCGACAGCGTTGGTGATGACATTGTGCTTGTACTCCACCTTGTGGTTGGTCTCGAGTCGAGTGAGCTGCACAAGGTACTGCGGCCGCGGATGTTCCTCCTGTGTGTCGAACCCGGTCAGGTCCCAGCGATGCGTGATCTCCGCCGAGTAGCGCTTCCACATCTCCAGGAACATGGCCGCTGAAATATTTACCATTGTGTCAGTTGCAATCTTTGACTATGAATACAACTGGACATTCCATTCTAATGTTAAAGTTGTAGCAATTTTCGGATTAAAAAAACATAGTTGTATCGTGACAACAGCAGAGTGTGCTGACGTACTGATTTCTGTCAAATATGCCAACTGTTCTACCTTGAAAAACTAGAAGGAAAGCAAATAAAGGAGTTATCATAAGCTATAAATCCTTTTTAATGTCACATATAATAACAAAAACTAATGTATAAAATATAATTTTGACTAGCTACAGTTGGTCTTTGTGAGTACTTTGGTTATAAATTAAATGGTTGAGATAAAAATTCAAATAAAAAAACATATAAATATATTCCTACGACTAAGGTTAACAGTAAGCTAGAAAGTGCCAATTATTGTCTAAAGCCCAACATACTCTGGTCGTCCATCTGTCGGCAGGCAGATATCTGCACTCATAATGACATTATTGCTACCCTGCTAGTTAGATGGGCAAACATCTCCTACTTGCGTATAATAGTGAGGACATTATCATGTGATTGCGACAAAATCTTGTCCATCTCCACTATTGCGAAGACATCATCATAATTGTCTACTGGGATTGCAGAAAAATCCTAAATAACTACCAGAATCGCATAGACAACATTATCATTTCCCTTTATTGCAATAAATCTTAAATATCCTGAGCAATCATTTGAACATTGTCGTCTCTTGTCTCGTGAATGCGGCAAAAATATTGCATGATATCCAATAAACCGAAACTCAAATTTTCTCATTTTCATTTGATTCTCACTCGGCTATGGTTTTTGTTTAGAGATGGAATAAATCACTATTCATTGATGTGTGTTGACAGCCACTGAACATCTGTACACAGATATCAGCCAGTCAACAGATAGCGACTGACGTGTAGGGACTGATGTATAAATGCCTAACTCATTTCTAACGAGTAATTCATTTCATAAAAACTTAATGCTAATTTATCCAAAAATTTATGAATAGCTAATATTTAGTTCTTTGTGACCGAAACTTCAAACTAATAGTACTCACCCCAGAACGACATGAAGACAGCAAAGAACACAGTGGTGTAGTTATCAAACAGATAGAGTATCTTGGTGTAGGAGCAAGTCTCGGAAATGTCCCAGTAGCTGCAGAAGTAGTCACACAGAGGACACATCTGAGCATTCAAATCTCCTGAGCAAATGTCCTCCCTGTGGATAAACCAATCAAGGGATTTAGTACCTTCAGTTTCATAACTCTACTTTACACATGATATTTCAAAATAAAATTAATAACAAATTAAGTACACACCTATCGATTGTCCAATATGTAATTTTTGGCCTCAGCAAAGCCACAGAGAAGTAAGATACAGAGGGTACAACCATTGACTATTTGATACTGAAGTAGGACCAGCTGTAGCCAATAAAAAAAAAAAAAATGTAGTTGTATGAGCCAGCCACAGAATGCGCTGGTGTCTAAAATTCTATTTTATACCTTATCTTTTGTTGCTGACCAGGTACAAGCTTAAGAGACAACCGTGCGCCTCTGATATGTTGGGGCGGAAATGTATTGAGCAAGGAATAGTCCGAACTGGGATGGCCATATAGCATTATATTTCAACAATTATACAATTGCTTGTAAAACAATTGCAACAATTGCTAGTATTATACAGCAGTTGTAGCGCACAGGGTCTTCCTGCCATGTGAACGCTGTAGTACAATATTGAAAGGGGGGAAGGAGAGCGGAAGGGGACAATGAATAGAATTTGGTCCAAACACCAGCGACTGGTGCTAGACACCACTTAAGTATACCACTGAATGTTTCCTCTGTTTCTTACTTTCTGCTTAAATAGATTAAGTTTTAGTTTTAGGGAGTATAAAAGAGATTATGCTACAAATAATTGTTGTCCAAAAAAGATTTCAAAGAGTAGCCTTAGGTAGGCTTCCATTCAGCAGACCACAAATAAGATGGAAAGACCAGGAAATTAAGAAAATTGAAAAAAGGATTGCAATAGAAGCAGGGAAAGAGGTGATTGAAGTAAAATTCTTGATTAAAATCCTCTTGAAGTTTCAGTGGCCTCTGAAGTAGGGTAAGGTAATGAATAAGAATGACAACAAGTAAAATATATTAGTAAAATAAATTTTCTTGTTTACAGTATTGTTCAGCCACTGAGAGAGATTGACAGCGATAAGAAAGATTGGAATAGAAAGTCTACTGCATTCTAGGAGAAAGGCAGTTTAACTCCAACTAATTCAGCTACCTATCTTACCTGGTGAAATGCCTAAATGCTAGTAACTTTACAAGCTAGAAAAACAAAAACCCTTACAAACATCCCCTGAATTTCATGGAGCACCCAATTAGAGACATGGCGGAATTAAGGTGCAAAAAAAATGTTTACTGCATTGCAAAATATATTAATCTTTTAAACACTTTTGGTTTGGCCCGATAAAAACATTCAGTTATCTTAGGGTCGTAAGACAAAATCAGCAAACACTTAAACAAAAGTTTCAACTAACGTTGGTTGATCGTAGGACAGGAGACAAAGGGAGATGAGGAAACATGCCAGTCCGACGACAGAGGCCGGCAACAACATGTGTGTGTAGAACCCCAGCCATGCGAAGTACAGTCCGATCTTGACCCCGAAGTATTGCCTGATATGATCGATGGGTTGGTAGCGATACCATCTCTGTATGGAAGCCCAGTGATGGTAGAAACTGTACCTCATAGTACCCGGGGTGTACAGGTCGCCCTGAGAGAAGAAATTGTTTTAGACACATAAATGTGGAACAGTGTGGAATTGTTATACAGTATATATTTCATTATGTATGACAAGAGGAATTATTATTAAATTCAGATGGCAATGCAAATGCAACCAATGATAGAAACATCCTGTTCCAACTGCAACATTGAGTCAGTCGAGTTCTAATCCAAGTACAGTAGTATTCCGGCAGATATAGGACCGTGACACTGCCGGGTTAGTGAAATTTCCAGATTCCTGGAATATTATCAATAAAAAACCCTTAAAATGCAATTAAAACACATCTCCGAAGATCGCGATCGGAAACCGCTATTGTCGGGATCGGACATGACGACGATGACGTTTCCGATATTGTGGGAGACGATGATAACGTCTACACGGCTGCGGGAGATAATCATAATTTTGCCACGAGCGTGCATGACGACGATGATGTTTCCGTGACCGCGAGAGGCGATGATAACATCCATACGACCGCGGGAGATGTTCGTGATTTTGCTGCGATCGCCCATGACGACGATGAAGTTTCCGTGACCGCGAGAGGCGATGATAACATCTATACGACCACGGGAGATGTTCGTGATTTTGCTGCGATCGCCCATGACGACAATGAAGTTTCCATGACCGCAGGAGGTGATGATAACGTCTATACGTCCGTGGGAGATGTTGATGATTTTGCCGCGATCCTGTATGACGACGATGACGTTTTCGTGACCGCGGGAGTGGATGATGATGTCTACACGGCCACAGGAGATAATCAGAATTTTGCCGCGATCGTGGAAGACCTCACCCGTCAAAAGACGCCGGATTACTGGAGTGCCGGATAGAGAGGGTCTACTGTAAGTTTAGCAAACACTCATTTTAACCTGTGATTCTCGGTATAATAGTCATTAATATACGCTATATCACGCTCTATTATTGGGGACAAGCATTAAAAGTACTCCCATATTGTGTGTTGAGTTATTTCAAAATTTGAACAACATTTTTTGTACAATTGTACCTACTCGAGTTCTAGTAGCGACTTGACAAAAAGCTTATTTGTATTTGTATTGAGTATACTGACTTAACTGACAAATTTGTATTTGAATATAGAAAAATTTTGCTAAATTAGTAAAATTTAGTTTATTAATGGAAGTTTTTCAATTTATTTTGAAGGAAAAAGAATTTTGCTGTATATTGAGCAACATCTAAAATTTAATCTGGCAGTCATAGTGGAATTGGCAGCTGGAAAATGGAAGTTTGCAGATGTACTGTTTCGTAGGTCCTCAGGCCCTAACCTTTAAAAATATGCTTTTGTAATTTACCTGTTTTACCCTTGCGGTACTTAAGAAGAGCAATTTATACTCCTTTTCTTCTTTTATTACAAATTTATTTCAGTATGGGTTTGGTTTTACATCAGTTGACAGTAAGAGCTACAAAATAACTTGCAAGAGTAAAGAATGTCCGTTTTTATCCTCCCATACCATACAAACACAAACTATTCTAGCTAAACACATTAAAAAGTTTGACTCTTCGAGTTTTATTAAAAAGCTCGAGTACATCATTTAACTGGTCTGTGATTAACATTGAATTGTTGGCTCTAATTTCAAGGGTTAGTAAATTGACAAGTAGCGTAACTCAGTAACTTTTGGTAGTTAAGCTAAGAAATTACTAAAACAAGTTGATTAAAACTGTAAAATAGGAATGTGTCAAAATGTATCGAAAAACATAAAGTAAGTAATCAAAAACATAAAGTTTTGTAAAATGTGTATTGTGGTCAGTTCTTAAACGCCTTATAAAGTTTATTGAAAACTTACGTCGTGTAAAGGATATGCAGCGGAATACACATTGTAACTTATGAGTCTTTCAATACCAAAACTGAACACATTGTTTGCCTTGGTCCCATCATCACTCTTGAAAAATGTTCTATCTAAGACAAACTGAACTATTCTGGATCTGATGGCAGGAGTAAAAAAGCCTGGAGAACTTGAGTCAAACCTGAAACAAGATCAAAATAATATCTAGACACATGAGTTTTGGATTTTTAAAGAAATGTTTTCAATTCAAACACATCAAAATTCCAATTATTTTTACAATTATTTTAAAGAATTTAAAAAAATGTTTTATTTTAGATTTTAAAATAGTTAATTAACATATAACGATAAATATGTACTAAAATAGCTACCCATCACAAACAGTTATGAAATAACAATTATTGAAAATGATATGTGTTAACTTTGTAAGTGAAGGGATTTTTTATCCACCCGATGACAGTTTGGTAATTTTTTTATAAATTACTATATCAAATAGAATTGATCTTTATGTGTTTTACTATTCAAATTTATCAATACCAATATTTTATTAGGGAACAATACAAACCTAGTTACGTTCTTATATCGACTAGCTGTTAAAGCTCACCTAGTTGTTAGTGTCTCGGACAAGAGAGACCGGTTCAATTATCAGCAAATACACTAAAATTTAACTATCAGACTAATTGCTAAAATGATTTGTGATTCTTATATAAATAAATTACATTGGTGTAGGCACTGACAAGAAAAATAATATAAAATAGTTCAGAGAGAGATGGAAACCCCCTTCAGATTGATCCCTTTTTTCAGTCTAATAGTTTAGTTTAACTCTTACAAATATGTGAGCATTTAAACCGGGTTTAAACGATGCAAATAGGTGGGACAATTCTCAAAAAGACAACTGACTGGCATGTAATTATTGGCTTTGTGTATCAGGAGCGGACTGGCACCACGAGGAGGGCGCCAAGTTTAGCCTTTAGAGGGCGCCCAGGGAGGTCTGGAAGGCACACCCCGCAGTGGAACGGGGGGGGGGGGGGGCTGGAAAATGTTTTAAAATTTATTACCCTTAAATCTTTTTAGGCTATTTCCACACTCGCAAAGCTTATACAAATCTGTGCTTTTTTGTAACTGTTCTAATACAACTTTTTGCTTAAAATATTTTTTTTACCATAAGCCTTCTTAAATGTTCTCATTTGCCTGTCCTAAGAAGTACAGTATTATGTGTCATAAGATTCTTTATTGCTATTTGCTAAGAGTTTAATGACAAAAACAAGGGGGAGAGCTACTTGGCAACGAAGCTTGCTTGCATTGCCCTACAAAGCATGAATTGTGGTCATCAGTGGAAACATTGCGTTATTGGCAAGAGGTGCCATTTATGGCGCCTAGTCTGTAGTGCACTACGTATCACTTTTGCACAATTACAGCGAAATAATAAATTTCAATTAAAGTGGGCCTACTGCAAGGATTCCGAAGAGGAGAACTAGTTGCTGACACCATAAAGGTGTTAAAACCTATTTTGATTGATTGCAAACGTAACAAGGAAACATTGCACTTGGCACCATCTGTCATGTAGCAGAGAGACCGGCGGCCCAGTCCACCTCTGCGTGTGATTACTTCAGGCCAATTAACTGCCCTTACAATTGCCCTGATGTCTCCGGGAATATACTGAGAAAAACAGAAGGACAACTGGCCTGCGACAATCCCGCAATCACTAAATGACAATTGGCAAAGACAACTGGCATCGTGTAAACCCTGCTTTAACAAAAGTACATATTCTGATATGACCCCTACAAGTGTCTACTAAAAATGTAAATAATTAAAATATAATGCCAAAAACTACTTGTACATACAAAATAATTTAAAGACGATACATCACACAAACCAACACCTTTCCCAGCTGTTAAAAAAAAATACCTTTAGGTAAACGCAGACACCATTGTAACTGCTGGACCTATAAAAAAGAAAGTTAGCCATGACATAGAAGAGTAAGGCTAAGAAAATTAAAGGTATGAGGAAACACAAGAATGATTATTTATGATAGAGTGGTTGTACACACAAGGAAGAAGAAATACATAGAAATAGTTCCAGACATTTGATAGCCCAGAAAACTTTTAAACACAATCCACTTGATATTACACTTTTACTTAAGACGCATCTTTAAAATGAAGTAGTAGAAATTTAATTTTTATTGTGTTAGCTTTGTGAGTGTTGTCTAGTTTCTGGAACTCTTTTACTGGGTAAAACAGTTGTGTATCCATTTCTTCTTTATAATATATTCCTAAGCGAAGTTAGAGAAGGCTTTTTATAATTTTTTAGATAACATTTGGTTAGTAGTTAGTACATTTGAAAACTGTTAGAAACGTGTGATCTGTAGAATAGCAACAAACAAAAACACCAATCTTTTAACGAGTGTAATTTGTACTTCCATTTTCTTTTCTTGGTTATTTTTATTTCATTCCTGGGCTCAATATTGGGAGGTATAACCTTACATATTTGAAACCCCAATGATCTAAAGGGGTTAAAACTTTTCCCCCAGTAAAAAAAAACAAAATCTGAAATGTTGGTTTAAAGCTAAACATGGAGATTTTTTGGGTAAAAGCTTGAGAAGATTCTGAAGAGAGAAACTGAAGTTGGCTGTAGTTGTGCCCATCCTGACAAGATTAGATTTTAAACAGAAACACATTTTATAACAGTAGATAAAGTCAATAACAGGTAATACCGTATCAATTCTCAGTAAACTTTGCGTTTGTAACATACTACTGCTAGTTTTAACATTTATTTATACAATCAAGATGTAAAACCAGCTAAGTAACTGCATGTCCACCTTTTGAGTGATGATGAAAATCATTAGTTAGAGGATAGCAAAGTAGTCAGAGTCAATGATTGCTAAACAAATTAATTAGACCACCACAATTTCCAAAAGTTCCACGGATAATGGCAAAACACTAACCAAGACATACAATATCACACCGTTCAGTATAATCACCTAACAATTCAATCAGCTAATACAATGAATCAAGTTACTGAACGAAAGGAAAAAATAATGTCTCACCATTCTTCTTGTTTTCCTATTGAAATGATTCATCAACTCAAAAAAGCGGGCAAGAAAAAAACCCATTAAAAAAGTGTTTGAATATTTATGACGATTGTGTGTTAAAATCACCCAACTGTTGTCAAGTTTTATAGTGATAAATACTTACAAATATTCTTTATCTCGGCTGTAGATGGCAGTGAATCTCTGTTTGTACTCTGGAAACACTTCTTGGTTTATAAATATATTTTCCTTCAACCAATTTTTCCAACAAGAAAACATAGTGTCTGTTTCAGGCTTCTGTACCTTATGTAGCTGAAAAAGAAGTTTATACAATTTTAAAGCAAATATGCTTAAAACTATAACAATTGAAAATAACTAAACTTGATTAATCAACACCACAGAAAAAAAAAAAAAACATCACCCTTTGACCTCAACAAAATTTAGTTGTCTTAGCGAATTTTCCATACAGTAGGTAATACAATACAATAAGAATAAGCTATTCATTACTGTGATTCATAAACGAGAAATCATAAATAAATATTCCTAGTTAGTTATTGAAAAGCATAAGACAATTGAATGACAACAAAACACTATAAGAAACTTTGGAGTAATTCGTATGACTAATATAATGGTATCTAATTTACCTGTTCATGTACATATTCCAAGTTTGTTGGATGCCACCTCAAGTTCATATAAAGTAACATCTACAACCGATTGGATAACATGACAAAGTTAACTATGTACCTTTTTATTAGTCATTACAGTAAACCATCCCTCAATATGGATTGGATTTTAATAACAAATTCTTTAAAGGATCTTTTTAATTACGTTTATTTATACCTTGCAAATGTAGATATGAGCAGCAAATCTTGGTTGCGTATGAATCCAAGAACATTGCAAATAAAATTCAGCAATATCAGCAAAGCATTTAACAAACACTATACTTTAATATTTTGTATTCAGGATCATTTAAATTTATTCATTTTACACAAAACTTTCATATGTCGGCCAATTGAGGGAAATTAATTTTATGATCAATTATGGACAACTTCGGCAAGACTGCTAAACAACAAACTGACAAAGTTTTCAAAATGATTTTTTAATGGTGGAAATATTGCACTGTTTCCTAAAATGTTAATAGATTTATGAAAAAGCTTGGAAAGCGTTAAACAAAACTGATTCAATAAAAGAATCTGATGTTGGTGTTATTATTTTTTAGCTAAACCCAAATGTTTTTTTCACTTATTTATTGTTAAGAACTACGGAAGTTATAAAAGTTTTAGCCAGTTTCAGCATTTCATAGAGCACACTCAAAAGAGGAAAATTATTTTTTTCAATTTAGATAGGTAAACCTAATCTATACTAACATTACCCAAGGAGTTAGTTTCCCAATATAAAAATCCCACACACATCCACAAAAATAACCCATTTAATATATTGTCTTTTTTGGTAGTGTCAGGGTTGGTTAAATTAAGTTAAATAGGTTAATTAAATTTATAGTTTAAGAAAAAAATCAATATGTTTTAACTAAATTTGCATTAGGATAAAGAAGTTCAAGCAATGAAAAAACGATTAAACTCAAAGGATCATTATTTATTATTTTAACCATAATATTTTTTTATTATTTCTGTATTTGTACTAGTTTATACAAGCCACAGTTTTTGCGAAATCTGTTAACTTGGACGCAGCTGTCGTCTGCTTTGCAAATTAATATCTTTTCCGGGAACCCGTAATTTAAACTTTGCTCGAACAAGCAACTATCGCTAGTCTGTTTTCAACCATATGTTAGATGGAGACATTTCAAAGGCATGGTGGTAGTTTGTGACACCAAGCTCGTTAGCTGCTGCCGTACGATATTGTGAAAGGCTCCATTTGATCCTGTGATTCGCTACGTCGCGCCTCCGGCCTAGTCAAAGCTTAGCAGCTAAATGTCGCTCGTGTTAGCAGGGCGTAACAAAACCAGGGTTTGGACCGTTCCCTTAAAAACAAACCTTAAAAATTCCATGGCCATAGAAACACAAACAAACGCAAATAAACACAAAACATACAAAACATTAACAAAACAAAAGTGAAACCAGTAAACACATCGGTTAAGTCAAGCAGAAGCTGCCGCAAGCAAACACAATCACAGGTCAATAATTACCTTTTCTGAAATATAATTTGAGATTTGGATGAAAGAACCTTGCTTGGAATATTTAGAGCCAGAGTACAACTCCTTCAACAAAACAATGTTAAATTAATACTAACTAGGCAACTGAGTAGTAAGGGTTCTAGTTGTAGCAAACAAACCTGAAGTAGGATCACTTGTTTGATTTACAAACATGTGGATTCGTTTGTTAGAATTACAATTTTGATAGTGGTAACTGAGTGAGCTAGAGATCAGACAAGATGTTTAAAGACTAGCACTAAGCCACTGTTGCCCAGTTGCTGGTGTCATAGTTTTATTTTACTACTCAAGGAATAACATTTTTTTGAGAGATCCTCTGCAAGGAAAGGACCTTATGGTTTGTGGGTAAAAGTGCATTAATTTTTTTCATATAGTTTCTGACCCTTATGTGTTTCAGATTACGATCATGATTCTCTTTAAGGGAAAAAAACATTAATATAAGTCTAGAATTTAAAACCATAAGCTAAATAAATATATTGTTTTATTCAATAATCAACAAATTGCTAAACGAGTTCTAGTGTTCCACACTAACTAATAAATAATTGTAGTGAACTTCATCATAGAAATATTAATTTCTTTGTTGGGATGGGCAAAGGATGGCGTGAAGGGGAGTGTTGTGCATATCAAACTCATTTGTTAACAATTGAGCAATTCCATCAAGCTTAATGTGGAACGGTAAAATGATTTCCTATGTTGAATTCAAACATGACAGTGTGGGACAAAATTTATATAATATTATAAGAAAGTAAGAGTTCAAAAAACCAAGGAGAGAGACAAATTTTTGTAATTCTGAGTTGTTTACAAATTTACCAGCTTGATTAGATTTTAAGAGAATAACTAAATCTAATTAGTCTACTTAAATATAAAATAAAATTGAAATCTACAAACATACTTCTCTCATTGGCATTCGAAGTTTAAGGATTTCAGCAAAACGCTGACGAACTTCAAGAGGAGCGTGGATCTTAACAAAATGGAGGCCAGTGTCTTCGACATCCTCATGTTCAAGCTCTAAGCCTGCCTCGATGAGATTGGCTTCGTAAATCTAAAAAATCATCTTAATAAGAGATACAAAGCACATTTTAATATTTTGTTTAGACTAATATACATCTTAAACTACTAACTATGAAATAAATTGAACAAATGAGATACCCAGGATGAAGTTTGAGGATATTAATGGACTGGTCAAATATCTTTTTAGGGTGAAAACATAATAGAGCGAAGGCTTAGCAAAGCGGGAATTAAATATTACTAGGGGCCCATAGCAGCAATTGCTTCCCTTCACCTCCGTTTTATTTTGTCCTTAACCATTCTCTATACTATGCACCATTCCTAAATACTCTCCTTCGCAGTCGAGGTCTTCCCCTAACACGATACATTTCAACAATGCATTACCAATAATTCATGTAATTGATAACCATTCTAACCCAAAATCAGAACACTAAAATCAATAAAAAAACAAATACGCAATCTTTCTATCAGCTGGTATATTTAAAACTGCTTATTGAAACACTGTAGCAGTACTTTGTTAGAAAATAACTGGATCTATGACGGCCTGTGAGGCAAGGGGTAGTTTTTGACAACTCTGATATTTTTCTCACTGTCATTGGACCTTAAGCTTTCAAATGAATCCTCAACAGCCATGCTACCTTTTTCCTAGCTCGAGATATTTCGTGGGGACCGATTCGCTTACGGAATGAAATATATAGATATGTATGTATGTGCACCAAAACATAGTGGAGCGTAGCTGGTACCCGACCAACTCGCTAGCCTCTCCACACAATATTCTACAACGATTTCTTTTCCTCAAGGGGTTGGTCGAGGGTCAAGCCTCAGTGGTCAAACGGACTTTAAAAGGTATTTTTATTGTGTCAGTAAACCCTAACGGACTAATTTTATTAATATGTGTAATTTATTATTATTATTATCGTCAAAAAGGTAGTGTTTCCTGATTGGTGATTTTTAATTTGCAATTCAACCTGTAATCAGTAGTTTATACTTTTTTACTTCAGGATGTTTCTAGATACATTATGTAGTTTTTATAATTTAAAATATGTAGGCAGTTGTACAATGAATGGGGTTCTTTGCTGCGTTTTGCTATTTTCAGCATTAAAGGTTTATTCACACACATCAGTCCAGTCACAGTTCAGTCTCAGTTGCATCCGCAATTCACCATCAACTGTCCTTCAGTTGGTTTCAGTCAGTCTTTCATCACTGTATTTACAGTGATGTTACAGTAAAGAATTTTTAATCAAAACACAATATATTCTACCATCTTTTCATCGTCCATATTGTTGATTGTTACAAACAGTACTTAAAAACAAAAACTATTTTTTAACTTCAAATACGTTTGTAATGTGTGCGAACAATCCACAAATTACGTTGGGAAGAAATCTGAAATTGACTGACGCATTTCGGCAGAGCGACTGAAAGACCTGTGCCAGATGAGTGTAGATAGCGCAATAGAAAATGCATTAAAGAAAACGGGTGCACTACAATTACCCTGTGCAGTTCCAACGCAGGTTCGTCAGTCAATTTTAGATTTCTTTCCACCGATATTTTTGGATTATTCGGACGCCTGACGGATGCTGAAAGTCATGTGTGTATGTGTTTGACATTTTAATTATACTGTTTGTAACAATCATCATGATGGTCGATAAAAAATGGATAAAATTTGTTTTTTAATACAAACATTTTTGACTGTAACATTCACTGTACATAATATGACAGAAGACTGACTTCAACCAGCTGACTGAGGAATTGCGGATGCTACTGAGACAGAACTGTGACTGGACTGATGAGTAGTTTGTAGTTTGTTAATTTCTGACCTGGCCTATTACTTGAATGTTGAATGGCCCAATAAAATTTTGATTTTGATTTTGAGTGTCTAACTCAAACTTAATTCTTTTTGTACAAGAGCACTACATTTCACCCTAATGTTAGATCAATCAGGTTTAGCTTGTATTCAAAAGTAGCCTACTCTAAACCAGTTTCTTGACTCCCTACCGTCACTGCTCTACTATGTGCATGTGAATCGTCGCTACCAACAGGGGTAAAATCGGGGGTTAGCTACGCTCTCTGCTACAATCTAGCCTCGCCACTCCACTGTTTTCACCTATAGACAAGCTTGGTGTACAGTTTATTCATAAAGACATTTTATAATCCACCAAATCATCTCTGATTTATGGCAGTTTACCAATACTTGCATTTTAACTTAAATTATGATGCACTATAGGCTATACTCTACTTTTCAATCTAATTGTAAAAATGCAAGACTATTTTGTCAGTTTGAATGAATACACCCTATGAACACCATTTCAGCCTGGTTGTATGATGTCTATGAGATACAAGTTCTACCCAAGTTACCTACCTCTCTCTTTTTGGAACTCTCTATTGTGCGAGATTCTTCACAACGTTCATCCCACACAAGAACAAAGTCTATTGTCCTGATTTCATCTTTGAACTTCCACTGGGTCTGTGGATGAATAAAAGTCTTCTTTTAAACATTTACTTTTGCATTCCTTTCTGTACAATGTTACCAACACATGTTGTTTACAATAGGATGTCTAACACTACTTTTCATATTTGTTTAGTTCGCTCATTGACACACTGATTTTCCAATAGGTAGGCCTAGAAGTGCTCATTTGCAGTTTACAATCAAGGCCACGTTACAATTGAAGAATTGAACTATATCTTTCCCTGTGCATATTTTAGTTTGAGGATGGAATACTGTCTATCGAATAAATTATTATTCATTGTAACTGTTTGTTGAATGTAGCTACGGCTACTATAAGCAAAAAGTAAGCTGTACCTTATATTACAAATTATATTACAAAAAAAAGTAAGCATAAATACAAAAATAGACATTCAATAAGTACGGTACACACCTCTTGGAGTGTTGTTGTTGTTGGCTTGTGATTTAAAATCTCGGTTTCTTCTTCCATTTTAAACAGCCCAGTGTCTATAGAACTCTAAATGCAGTTCTTCCAAACCACTTCCAAAAATAAAGGACTGGAAGTTATAAAATTAGCGATCTGCTAAAATTACCTATGGAAATAATGAAAATAAAATACAATAAAAAAATTCATTAAAATGGGTACGGTAGTAAAAATAATATAATAAAATATGACCAGTAAACAAGTAGGCAATAACAACTTATTTAGTTAAGTTGCCTTGCATGTCTACTATACTCTGCGTGTTCAATTCTCTGACATCATGTTAGTGTTATTTACAGTAACATGATGAATCAAATATCATCAGCTGTTTGCACTATCATCAGAATGACTCTTAAAAATAAATGTGTATTACTTTATTTACTTTATTACCCATTAAAATGGATGGAATTTTCGGATTAAGCATGCAACGTATTTTGGTGATGGTTGGTTTATGGTTTATGAGGGGTTGTTGCAGATAATTTTCTTCACAATTAGTAAAAAAACACAACAGACAAGTTTTTATAATAGGTAGGATGGAAAATGTCTACAATAACCTCGCAAACACCAGTGTCAAAATCCGACCCCAAAAATGTTTTTTTCAGTAAGGATTTTTAAATAAACCTGAAACAATCTTATGTAATGTCAGTCATTACTCTAAAGTGTCATTTATAAATTGAATACAGTAGACTCCCTCTTATCCGGACATCGGTTTATCCCAGACTAGATCGGCAGGAAGTGGGCGATACTGAAACGACTGATAACATTGTTACACTACAGTATATAGAATGGCAGTACAGTAGACTCCCTCTTATCCGGACTCCTTGGGACCAATGCCAGTCCGGATAACAGTTTTTCTGGTTAAACCGATATCCCCAAAAAAATTGTTAAAACGGACCATTTAAATGCATACTATATAGCCTACAGTATTTCACTTAAATTTAGGAGAACATTGTTTAGACACGTGATCACTGGTCTCAAATCTTTCCCACCAGAACAGTCGTTTCAGTACCGCCCACTTCCTGCCGATCTAGTCTGGTTAAACCGATGTACCCACTGATCAAAATTTTCCAGTTAAAGAGGTGTAATTTCCGCCGAGTGTAGTCTGGTTATCAGGTGTCCTGATAAGAGGGAGTCTACTGTATATAGAATAGCAACTTGTCCATGGTTTTTGTTGATTTCCCAAAACTTGTAGCCTACCTACTTTTCAAACTTTGGTGACAACTTAAAAACTACACTTGTCCTATCAGTATGAAATTTTTACATGGCATTTTCCATGCTAAATACTAGTTCCGATCATGAGGGCTTTTAAAAATTATGTATACCTTGTTACATATGAGATGTTTTTTTTATATGTCAAAAATATTTTGGATTAAAATAAAAATAAAGCTTATGTAGGGAGCTAGAAAAAAATCTAATCTTTTAAATAAACAAAAAATTAAGACTCTATCTCTTTTCAAACTTGAGTTAAGTTATGGGCAAATATTTACCGTATTTACACTGGGATATGATGTAATTTTTATATGTCTACTTACAGTATTTTTAACGCTGAATCCAAAAATGCAATCAGTTTTTGTCGGAGAGATTCCTAAGTGGCCGTAGTGGCCGTAAAACGAAGGTTAGGATTACGAATCGAAGGATAATTGAGCGGTACTGAAGGTAATGGTAATATGGCGTGGTCTGGACGGGTCCGTACTGACTGGGTGAAGAGTGAGGAGTGAGGACTGAGTGAGAAGAGCAAACAACTGTTTATACTTGATCTAATGTGGAATTAAATCAAATCAATTCGTTTTGAAACCAAATAATCAGTTCTTATTTAGGCATGTGAGGAAGGAAGGTCGGGTTTTATGCGGATTCGTGACTGTAATAAGTGTTTTGAAGTGATGTTAGATTAGGAAGGTAAAGGTTAGGTTATAATGAACTGACTCATTAATTTATGCAACTTCCAGACTGTTTTTGCACAATTAAATAGTGGGTGAAACACAATGAAATAACGATATCAAAAATGTGCAAGCATAGTCACGAATCCGCATAAAGTCCGACCTATCTTCCTCACATGCCTTTTATGGCATGAAATGTGATTTAAAAATTAATATTAAAGTTGGATTGGGTTAGGTTGGATTAGATTAGATTATGTAACATCATTTATTAGTTGCTGATACATTAAATTATGCACTGTGGCACGATTTCACTTTTAGACACAATGGGATTATGTACTATGGGATTATGCACTATGGCACGTTCATTACCAGACGTTGAGGCATTAGTCAATGTTTGAGGATTGGAATGAGGACGATGATCATGTCGGCAGTGGCCTAGCTTCTATTACTGATATTTTACGTGAATAAATTATATTTTGTTTTATCATTTATGTTCATGTGATTAATAGTTTATGTATGGTAGTTGATTTATTGTATTTTATAAACAGCACCAAAGTCCATTTTCTTTTTAAAATCTAGTTATTGCATATTGTAACTCTGATTTTGCTCTCATTGCGTCAAGTGTGGTTTTGTCTGTTTAGTATAGAATTTAAACAACTGACAGCTGTTTCCACTCCACAAACCTTCCACCCCTTTTAGTGTTAGTCGCCACTAGAACTTGGACTCGTCCATACCACAAATATGTTAATAAATCAACAAAACTGAAGCTTAATATCAATTATATAACTGTACGGCCACTTACGAATCTCTCCGACCAAAACTGGTTGCATTTTTGGATTCAGCGTTAAAAATACTGTAAGTAGACATATCAAAATTACGTCAAATCCCAGTGTAAACAGGGTTAAATAATTAACATCACCTCTTACGGATGACGGACTACCCTTACTCTGTGGATTAAAGCAGCAAATGATACGATTGACAAAAATTGAATCATAGATTGATATACCGCAATTAATTGGTAGGCCTAATACATATATATTGTGGTTATTGTTTTTGTTTGGATATAGTTTGTAAATACCATGGAGTCGAATATCGAAGTTTCACAACAATAAAGCAAAGTAAATACCTACTGTAACCAAATCATAAGACTAAAAATCTGTAGGCCTACCACTACAGTTAGCATTTAGGTTTACAGTCTACCAAGGTAACATGCTTTATGATAAATTTTTACTATAATCTTTGACTATTAATAAATCATAAATCTGTATTGGTCATTATAACAAAGTTACAATAGACCTTTAATATAGTCAATGCTATAAATCAAAGTTACCTTTTTTTAAATAGAAACTTGAATTGATAAGAGCCTGGGTTGGATGAAAAATTAAAATATTTTTGAAAACCAAAGTGGAAAACTTAGGTTTACAAAATAAACTTTTATACTATTGACCAAGTCAACCTAACTTATTAACCCAAACTTGCTAAGAGAAAAGAACATGCATACAATGAAACCAGCCAACGAACCAATACAAACAAGAAAACATTGCAATATTGCATTGTGCCGAATGTGCAGACCAGTGCAGGGCAGACGACACTTACTTTTACTCAGCTGCCAGCGCCAGCTGATCTCTCTTTATTCTTTTGTTAAAACCAACATGAAACTTGTATCTTGTTTTCCGCATGCAGCTTTAAAGTACTTAGTTATTTTATTACCATCACCATCGGTCGGTATCTACTATGCTACTATCTAGCCATTGACTATGTAAATCTGCTAAACATGAGCTATTTTTTTCTCAGGACACTAAGCACGAGCCCGGAGCCCGGAGCCCGGAACTGTTTCACATTACTTCAGGCTAGACCTAGGGGTTGTGGCATTATCACATAGATAAAATCCATTGGTGATTTGGCGGGATTTGAACCCGGGACCTCTAGAACCGAAGTCCCACGCTCTAACACGGCCACCTTTAACTACAGTCCGTGGACTGGTAGAATTGTGAATTAATGCAAATATTAATAATTTTGAAATTATCGTAGAGTTTGGTTTCAAAACAACAACAAGCTACATACTGACTTTTAGGATAGCTGCAGCCTCCTTAATAGCAAGTGAATGCTGGTGAATGCATTGGTGAATGCTAATCACTCAGTCAGATTTTAAGTAGCCTATTCAAATTAATAAACTGTGTCTAAATCGCCCGCTTTAATGAGATGTTACTAAAAGCATTTACTATAAAAAAAGGTGTTGGTATTTAAATGGCTTTGCTTTGACATTTCATTTCCACTCTGACGTTTTTCAAGTTTTTGTAATTTTTTTCCTAACTTGTTTACTAACCAACAAACGTCAAATTGATTATGTTGTTGTGTTGTCGTATTTCTTCATCCCTTAAGACGTTATTTTTTTGTTTTAATTAGATCTAGGTTAATTCTCACGTCAGGAAGGTGAGAAACAGTTAAAAGTGCACCAAACTATCTAAATAAAAAAATCTGTTGTCAAGTTTCCCCAAGCATTTGGCTTTCAAGCTTTAACTTTAACATTCAGTATAAATAACTTACTGTATTGTTATTTCCTTACAGGAAGTTAGTTAAACATGCCTATTCCTAGTTTACTTACAATTAACCCTGATAATTTATTTGAAAAATCTTCAATTTCGGAAATAGAAGATGTCCAGAAGAAACTTCAGAGTGAAATTGAAAGAAAACGTGAGGAGTTGAGAACCATGGTCGGGTAAGTAGAACAAATTTTGTGATGACAACATTTGACTATAGTTTTAGAACAGCTAAGTTTAATGGGTCAACTTATTTAGATATAAAATTGTTCTTGAATCGCTGAAACACAGGTTAGGGCCTAAGAAGAAACGAGTATGTTAGCTACTGTTAGCTTTTTCTGTAATTGATTACCGGTACCATATCAATAAGTCATTTATTTGTCAAAATAACAAATACAATTTTGTTAATACATTGAATACAACTCAGCAACTTAAAATGTACACCCGACCCGTATAAGTTACAATAAATAAAATTGAAAGGGAAAAATATTTAACCGCCAGCCAGAAACTCTTGGTCGCTGTAGCAACATCTCGAAAGCAACATGGACTTCTGTTCTCTCTTAAATCTAAGGTAGTAGGGCTGCACCTTACTTTAGGTCCTACACTCATTCGAATGATAATATCGATCGATATACCGATTAATCGATTGTTTCATTCGATATATGGTTTGGTTAGTTAGGTAAGGTTAACCTAACCTAACTAACCAAACGATATATCGAATGAAACAATCGAATAATCAACATTTTCATTCGAATGAGTGTAGGACCTAAAGTAAAGTGCAGCCGGTAGTATTTCTCTAACTTAAGATTGATGGGTAGACTGTTCAAAAGTTTAATTCTGTTGTACAAGAGGTAATGTTGAAATTACCCCCGCCTCAGCAAACCTGCTGACTAAGCAAATTTCTAGTTGCCTGAATTGATTTTCAATTAAATGTATTTTTAATTAACATTAGGTTTTATGAGTACATAATTAGGCTGCTACAGGGAGGGTAAAAAAGTGTGTTTTTAGTAAAATAATATTAACTTAGTATAAAATAAATAAATTTACCAAGTTTGGTCAAAATATATCCATAAACAAGCAAACCACAACATTTTAAAATTAGGCAGATTCTCCATAAGAATATCAAGGGAATTTTAAAATAACAATTATTTGAATTTTCTCCCTACCCCTAACCAATAATTGTACAAAAACACTTTGATTTACTAAATTATTTGTTTTTAAGCTCTTAAAAAAAGTCTAGAGAGAAATTGGGAAATTTTGTGTTTAGAGGGTAAAAAAAGTAGAAAAACAAATTTTCACCCCATAAAACCCCCTGTAAAACCTCGTTCCCATTGTTCCGACTATGCTGGTTAGCAAACTCATTCAAGTTTATCCCGCCTTACACCTTCAAACCAAATTTCATCAAAATCTGACAAGGATAATAAGATAAAAGGTAATAGCTACTTTCCTATATAGGGAAATTCGCTAAAAGATGAATCTAAAGACTTGAATGAATCTGTAGGCTACAAGACTTCCAAGTTATGACTTACTTGGATTGCAGACTTGGATTTATAACTGAACTACAGGTACTTTCGGTTATAAAGTGAACTACCCTAGATCATTTAATATACAGTAGGTACACTTAGTTTCATGTATGAATTTTAAATTCAGGCCTATACCTACATAAAAAACTGTATGATCGATCTACATGAGAAACAGTTTACACAAAACAAACATTTAATAGTGTATGGATTGGTTATACTCTCCATTTATGTTTTAATATATTTTCTTTATTAGCATATGCAGAAGGTTGTAAATTATAATATTTTTACATTATTTTTAAGATTTTTAAGAATGAAAATATAATTCTTACTGAAATATGACATTTTAATGTAGGGATAACCGGTTAGAAAAACTGTTTGTGTCTCCTCACATTTTTATTTCAGTGCAACCTCTGCCGGTTAAGGATGTTTTCGTAGCTTCACATGAAAGTCGTCGAATTTAAAATTAATAAAAATAAATACTTATAAAATTACACACACACGTACACCATACATTTACTTACTGACCAGTTGATAACAGACCACACTAACTGAACATGGTGGAGTCCAGAATTGAGTTTATTTTTTTGTTAGTGTCTGAGCCTGCCTAGGCTAAAAATTAAGGTACATACCTTCACGTCCACAGTTCAAATATGTATGGTTAAACCCACTACATGTTTCGCCTATACATAGGCATTGTCGAGTGGTCCTTCAAGAACGTTTCGTCCATTGTAGACTCGTCAAAAACATTTAAATAAATACACAAAACACGATACGAAACATTTAACACTTAGTAGGCCTACTATTTACCGGTCGCGGTGAGTCTGCCTCCGTACCGCGACCGGTAAATAGTAGGCCTACTAAGTGTTAAATGTTTCGTATCGTGTTTTGTGTATTTATTTAAATGTTTTTGACGAGTCTACAATGGACGAAACGTTCTTGAAGGACCACTCGACAATGCCTATGTATAGGCGAAACATGTAGTGGGTTTAACCATACATATTTGAACTGTGGACGTGAAGGTATGTACCTTAATTTTTAGTCTATTCAACAGTTTCAGGGGCTACACAATGAATTTTAATCCTGCCTAGGCCTACAGTAGACTCCCTCTTATCCGGACTCCTCGGGACCGAGGCCAGTCCGGATGTCGGGTTTTCCGGTTAAACCGACGTCCCCAAAAACTCGTTAAAACAGACTGTTTACTGTGATATTCGACTTAAATTTAGGAGAGTGTTGTATTAAGACACGTGATCACCAGTCTCAAATCTTTACCACGAGAACTACAGTCGTTTCAGTACTGCCCACTTCCTGCCGATCTAGTGCGGTTAAACCAATAAGCTGATAAAGATATTCCGGTTAAAGTGATGTCATTTCCGCCGAGTATAGTCCAGTTAAACTGATGTCCGGTTAAAAGGTGTCCGGATAAGAGGGAGTCTACTGTATAAGCAATTTTATTTATCCTAAGTGAAACAAATTTAGCTTGAAAACAATTTTAAGGAAACCAAGTAGTTTAAACCCCTCAACGTTTTGTTAGGCTTGAAAATGAGGAAATGCAAGTTATTTGACTTTTATGTGTGTATCTTGTACTGTATTAAGTCATTAAAATTGCTAAGATTTTTTGTGAGCAACAAGTAAAAAGTTAACCAACAACTTAAAAGAAATGGGCTACCATGCAAAAGCATTGTTTTGATGGTTTCAGTAACTAACAATTCATCTTTCATGCCCCTTAATGCATTTTGAAATTAGGCCTAACTTACTTAATGGTTTTTTTTAGCGAAAGGTACAGAGACTTAATTGAGGCAGCTGATACCATATCAATCATGAAAAACTTGTCAGAAAAAGTGATTGAAGATGTCAACAAAATGAAAACTGCCACTGCTGAGTTACAACAGCGACAGGTTTCAGGCTTCAAGATGGATTACTACCACAAGTAGGTTACAATAGCCTGTAAGTTATATGAAATGGAATATAGGAAAATTAGTAAAATAATCTGGGGTATACATCAATCTAACATAACCGGATGAAGTACCTTGGGGCCTCGGCACAGCCCCTTCCTAATGAGATAGGGCCTAGTCAAATTACATACTCGCAGCTATGTAAAGTAAACTAAAATTGTAAGTAGCCTATTTTATCAAAACTATTCTACAAAGTTAGCTACTAGTAGCTACATGATTGCTGGTAACATTCCCTCAATTATTTTGTCAATTTAACATCTTAACACGGACATTGTAATTGTTGTTTATTCACACAACTTCCAGTTTTTTTTATATATATTACCTTGTTAGATTATAGTACCATTTATTTATCTTATTAATGTTACAATGAATGTAAGTTAAGTTTTATTTTGAGGAGTAGGATCTTTACATTTGATTTGGTTTCATTAGGGATTTGAAGAAAAGTACAATGGCTGGTGTAGCCGCACAGATCAAGCTGCTGGTAGACATTCCAGAGTACATTTGGGAAACCGTTGATTCAACACAGTTTACTCATGCAGCCTTATACTACATCATGGCTCGTTATATAAAAACAAGTGAGTCACTACTATCATCAAGAGTTACCGAATTTTTGCAAGGCAAAGCCGAGCATGTGAGAGTGAGTAGGAGGTGAAGCAGAGGATGGGAATAATTGAAACAATTGCCAGAAATTTACTTTGAATGATACTTTACATCACAACGCAAAAATACTCACTTACTTATAGAATAAAAGACCTCTGTAGAAAATACCAAAATATTTATAGAGTACTAAATATTTAGACTTAAATATTTCCCAATTACATTTTTTTCATATAAAAACAAGCAAAATGGGTTATAGCAAGGATAAAACATACTCACTTAGTAGATTTCCCATCCTTATGGAACAGTTGAAGCCAATTTTATCGTTAGTTCTGTCTGGTGCACTGTAGATGTCGTGTTTTGTTTACAATTTTCTTGTTATTTCAGTAATTTAAAACCCCGTTTTACTTAATAAAACAATATCATCATAAAAAATAACTCATCCTCTGGTTATATAACCAAACAGTAAAGCACAAAGCATGAAATTAAGTCTAAAATAATAGAAACAAAATTTCGTTGACACTAACCACTAGTGTCACCGTACATGAACTAGACACGAAAAACACGCTTTAAAATTTACAATGGGATGGGGTCTTCTTGTGTTGTTTAGTCTATGGTTATAGTAAACCTACATAACAATGTACTTACAATGAAATCAATTTGCAGGTTTAGAGATCAACCCAAGTTTCCAAACCACAATGTATTTTCCTGTAGTTTCTCGTCAGTGGTCTTCTATAGTTCATTTTAAGGACACAATTATAAAAGGAGCTGAAGAATCTTTGAAGTTACAGCATGACTCTCAGGTATGGAATACTGTGTTGTCAATGTCAGGTGTTTAGAAATAGGCTAAACATATTTTTAGGTTATTGCATTTGTACCCGTAACGACAAGCAGAATTGATTAGCCTACAATATTTTTATTTAAGAAATCTTTGGCATAAACAGAATGTTCAACATTTTTACCTGTGTCTCACACCATCTTAAAGGGTGAGTTTTGGTTGAGTGTGGTTTATAATGGCTTTTACTACTTAACTTTTTACTTGATACTTGATACATTCATCCTTGACTGACATTATTTGTGTGTTAAATATATACAGAAAAAAACTTTAATTTACAAAAACATTAACAACAAATTGTAGTAATGCAGTTCCCACTAAATCTCTCTCAGAGATACTTTCCAGTGGGTCATAGAGCAAGGTGCACTAATAAAATCAGAACACGAAGGATCTTTTTCAAACGGAATAGAGTTTAACCAGTTTTCTTGAGAAAATTAGAGATCATAGATATACAATAAAAGAACACAAAATATAACACTGATATGTTGTTCTTGAATAAATAGACTTCTTCAGAAAGTATGTTTAAAAGAAAAAACTATTTTTTAGCTAAATCATATTTGATGTCACATCAACGATGACAGTAACAATAACTAAGGGGGAAAATAGAATTGTAGACTGTACTCTGTGAGTGGCTCATTCAGCTATGCTTTTTTTATAAACAAATTTCTACAGCTTGTCTTAATAGATGGAATGTCTACCTCCTTCAGTATCCCATAGTCAATGGTGTTTGCCGTTAACAGGTAACGTGCAGTGCTCTGCTGAGTCTAGCGCTATTGGAGAGTCTATCGTCGGGTCAGCTACTGCAGCGCTACTTGACGTTGCGCTCAGAGGCACTGAGACAACAGCTCTCCCCCCACCACTCTCCACTAGACAGTGCTGCAGTCCAAGAGAGGCTCTGCTCCAGCTACTCCCTGCTCATACATTCCATCGTGGCCATATCTCACTGTTTTTACGGTAAACACAAAGCATTGTATTGTTGTTGATCGTAAATATGGTCTAGTTATAATTTTGCAGCTGTTTTTCCATAGACATTAATTTGGCAATATTTCAACTCTAATTTTTTCTTACAATTATGTACTCTATCATTTCTCTTCAACCTACTCCCCAAAGAAGTCCTACATAAAGTGGAATATCAGTGTTTGGCTATATTGATAGAACAATGACTTACAGAGCATGTACAAGCCAAGGAAGGCCTGCTCTGGAGGGAGTTAGAGAGATACGTTAGTCCACAGTCTGCTCCTACACTGCAGCTGTTGGACAACGGAGACAGCGACATTCCTACCTCTGTCCTGCCCTCGGCAATCCGAGAGTTCAGGTTGGTCAAAGATATAACATTTTCATTTTAAATTTTAATCTATGGATTATTACTATGTTTTGAACTTGGACTTTTAAAAGCTTTAAAATTACATATAAAATTACAATGACATTTTCATTTTGGGACCAAAGACTTGTTATTTCTGTGCAAACCAAGGTGTCTGTAATTATTACTAATCATTACTACTCAGTTTAGTTTTTAAATTAGTGTGACGCAGTCTATACGGGATCCGGTCAGTATTTAAGTAAGTAAGTATAGTAGTTATAGATGATAATGATACCTATTGTGCTCTTGACAGATTGTGGGAGTCATTGCAGTCACTCATGGTTGTGGCGATGATGTTATCTTCTTTAGAAACTGTGATCCCTTGTATTATTGATCTTGAGATGTCATTCTGATGTTCAGAGATTATGATAATGACTTATGTATGGCTTGAAGAGATTGTGATAATCTTATCAATAGATAGTGATTATTTTCTTGTGGCCTTGATTATGATGATGTTGGCAGACCTGTGCTGGACAAGCCACTGGAGCCAGTGTCTGAAGATGTGCTTAGAGAAGCTGTGACCTCGTGGCTGGTCTGGGTCCGTCAACTGGTCAAAGAGCAGGGTGGACAACTGTTGCAACGACTTTCATCCCTACGCAGCTTACAAGGCTTACGGGATGCTCCACAGGTAATCAAATGATTCCTTGTGTTTATTCATGATTTGAAGACGTACAGGGAATGCATTCGTGGAGTGTTATTAACTCAGGTCATGATGTTAACTAAGACTGTTTATTTATATTCATGCTCCCTACACTCTGAGACCTTGTTGTGTGTCAGGGAGTGTGTGAGGAGTGGCCTCTAGTGTGTCAGTCACTGGTGTCTCCAGGCTCCAACATGGACCTGTGGAGTGACCTCTACCGACCTCTGATAACACTGCGTGCCCAGCAGCTAGTCTCCGTACACTGGGATTCAGCTCTGAAGGGATTGCAGCATCAGATTCGACAAGCCATCAATGCTGCCACCAATGAGTATGTAAAACTTAGTATCACAGAAATTGTTAATTTAACTCGTTAGCCAGTCCATATAGTCCAACTAAATATCTGTTATAAATATTGAATTAATTTAGTTTCATGTTGCAACAGGTTTTTCCCTCAGGTACAAACTGATTTTATAAAATGGGATCGTTGTTGCGTAAGCAGGTTTATCATTGCTTCAATGGGAAAGAGTCAATGCTGGTTCAACAAACAAAACAACTTCACACCATACTTGTTATTTACAGTATTTGACTAGCACTGAGAGCATTTCCATCCAATGTTTGAATTAGCAAAGACACGTCTCCAGGTCCAAAGATGTCTTGACTCATGGCCACCATTTTACCTTAAGACATTTTCTTTCCTAGCTCAAACCTTCCTTGGTTTGAGTATTCAAACCATAATTATAATCAAGTATTCTAATTCTGGTTCATAGTGCAAATTATATTTCTGTTTCTCATGCCTTCCCATTCAAATGAGCTTGTTAATCCACCAACAATCTTTTAAAACCTAGGCTATTGTGGCCTTTGGTACATGATCGGTTTCAATCAATCAAATATTCTTTATTCACAAAGTTTAGACAATATGTCTTGAATAGCGTCATTAAACTAACATAAACAAAAAATTATAAACTAAATAATTAAAATCATTCACAAAGGATTTATATAGTAAAACTAAAAAAAAAAAAAAAAATGAGTGCTATAACTTTAAAAAATCACAAAATCTTAGAACAGCTAACAGATGATTATTTTCAGTACCTATCATCTAATATATAAAATTCTCGTGTCACAGTGTGAGCCGTGTCAGTCGGCTCAGTTTGAGAAAGGAGAGTATTTCTTATAGTACATATTGCGGCAGAAGCACTGTACGCCGACGCTCGCCAAAGGCCGTGGGCGAGTCCACTTTGTCTTTACTCCCCTTCTTCTCCGATCTGCTTGGAGACGTTCTCTCTCTTTGAAATCGTCCACCAAGATTGACGTTCCAAATTTTACCGGCACTATGGAGACTCAAGAAAGAAGATTTTCCAAGTTCATTTTGTTCGACCTTCATAAAATGCAATTTTAAATTTGTTTTTGACACCAAGCCAGGTATGTCAAATCATTGTATTAGATTAATTGTCCGTTTTTTCATTTTTAAACTTAGCCATTTTTCCCTCAAACATTTTGTCTGTTCTTGAAAGCGTTCACAAGAGATTTGTCCTTTTCTCTATATTTGTGTAAAATGATGTTTATAAGGTCTTTTAAAGTTGTTTAAATTGTTTAACTTGTTTTGTCAAATGTTTAAAATTGTAGTTGTCAATAAAATTTTGTGCTTAAAGTTAGTTTTTGTCTGGTCACAGACAGGAAAATTTCATGTTGGTGTTCAGGACACACGTGTTCGACTTTGGTAAATTTGTTGTTTTTAATTATTTGTGTTGTTCTGAGTCGTCATTTGTTTGTGTTTACAGGTTTTCCAAACTAAAGTAAAGTGAAAGAGTTAGTTTTTCCTTTTAACAAAATCCACAGGCTAGGCCTAGGCTGGAAATTGTATTAGTATTAGTAACAGAAAACTGAATGAAAATATGTATTGTTTTGTTAAGCCAAGAAAAGCAATAGAGATTATTTGTTTAACCATGACTAACAGAGATTTAAATTTTTACTTAAAGTGTTATGTAAATTTAGCTCTGCCGTAAACTCCCGAAAGACCAAGTCTATATTCCTTGAAAGGGTTAGGTTTGATAATATTCTGAAATACTGATTATTTTCAACTTTTAAGTAGGCCTGTGTAATTTTAAAGGGCTCCTGTACTGGACCGACAGCAGCGGACACATCATGCCTCCTGATCCTGACCTAGTTCGGAGCAAGACGAGGGCTTCGCCCCCGGACTAAACCAGGCCTAACCACAACCAACTCGCAGCGGAAGGACTTCACCCAGAAACATTCTACGAGAACTTTGGCCTTCTTCACCTCTACAAACCAGGTGCTATCTACTCCATGTTATCATTATTATTCCAACGTTTGCATTCAGCCTACCTTCAAGAACAGTTCATTTATATCAAGTTTTTCCCCAATTTAAAGTTTTACCGTTTCAATTTCTTAAACTCTGTAGCCTAGCAAATTGAGCTTAGTGTTTCCCTAACTAGGCCTACTTCTTATTTCTGGACTAAACTACAGACTAATAATCCCCTTGTGTTTTACTGTTTCAAATTAAATGTTTTTATTTCGCTATCGCTGCGAGTTGAGTTGTGGAACTGGAACTAACAAAAGTCAACAAGAATACATTATTTATATCACGGGTCTACGAGTTTTTTTAAAAAGCTACAAGAATTCATGTATTTAGTAGGGTGTCACATTTCCTTGTTATTTCATTATTTTGTGTATGTACCATGTTATGTTAGTAATAGGCTAAAAATTTCTGTTCTAACGGGGAAACTTTCGGCCCAATTGTTCTAAATTTCATTTCGGTTCACGCCAGTACTAAATTCTTCCCCACAATTTTTGCCCTTTTAAAAATTCTATTTCTTACTGTTTAAATTAAAATTCTATTCTGATGTTAGTGTATATTTGTGTATAATTGTCTTATGTTGCTATTTAAATATTTTCATGTCAATGTTGAGTGTAATTTTGAACTGTAAGGTTGTTCGAACGTTTTTCTTTAAACGCAACTTGTTATTGATATTTTGGTCAAATACTATTTTTAAATGATTTCATTGTAAGGTCATTTCAATTCAACGTCTGTTTTATGTAATATTTTCAATTTCTTGCCTTTTAAGATTCATATTTTTAAATTTATCATTGTCCTAAACCTTTTCCGAGTAGGCCTAACCTAACTTAAAGTAAGGATTTTCTTCTAGTTACCAGCTTGGTCCTTAAACTTAAACTTGAACTTCAACTTTTGGTAAAGTTTATATATACATAAATGTTTTAAATGTTTTGGTAAATGATTTAGGCCTAACACTGGTATTGATTTACATTCTAAGCCTTGTACCAATTTGTATATATTATTTCGCTGTTGTTTAAGGGCGCATATTTGTTAATATTTTTAATTGAGTTGGTAATAAAAGATGTTAATCACTTTTCAGTTGTATTTTTTGAACACCTGCAGATCTCTCATGAGCACAGAATCTTGGTAAAAGTTCCACGTACCATTTTGGGGTCTGGGAACTCAGTCATGTTTCATTTGGTAGCAGAGCGTGGTTTTTTTTTCAAATGGCTCAGTAATTTAGAGTGTTTGTTAGCATTTTAATATTTCTGTGTTCTTGGGGGTCTGAAGGTGATTCAAATTGTTTTCAGGTCATGGCCGTTGGATTTTGAAATTTTCTGAACTGTGTGTTCCTGGGTATCAACATGAAAAACTTGTTGGAATTTGTCTCATTTGTTGTTTTGTCATTTCATTGTGTTTTGTATTTCCTTGTGTAGATTTAAAAAAAAATGTTTCGAGTTGTTTTCACGTAGGCCCGTCCTTGATTGTCCCGTTTTGTTCGCGTTTTGGTTAGGAGCCCTGGCAATGGTGTTTTTTGGTGAATTGTTAATTGTAAAAAAAAAATTTTTTGCTGTCGTGTTTGTTGTTTGTATTCAAATTTTGTCGAGATGAGTAATTTAAACCCCGATTTTCTGCTGAAAAAGGAACTCCAGTTTGAAGTTGCCTTGCGAGGTGAGACCCCGGCTTTGAAGGTAGCTGATTTGAGACGTCAACTCAGGGGACTCATAAAGGCCAACAAGCCCCCTACCTCTGCTGTGAAGAATGATCCCGGTGAAGAATGGGAATTTTGTAAGGAGCTTGCTGAGGAATTAACTTTAGGTGTGAAGGACTTGGGCGATTATCCTGATCTGGGTTCCAATGCTGTTCAGCGCTTGAGAGTTCGTCTTGAACATCTTGAAAGACGGCTAAATGCAATAGATCCTGTTCAGGCTGTTGGAGAGGATAGCGAAGTTACTGTAACTCTTGTGCTTCAACAAGTCCGTGAGCACTTGTGCTTTTTATTAAATCCCAAGCCCAGAACTGCCACCGGGAACAAGGAGTTGGAACAACCTACTGTCAATGTTGCTAGTGGCGGTAGTCAGGAGATCCAGACTCCAGACGAAATAGTGATTAACGAGAAGGATGAGTCGCAAACTCCTGCTACGAATGTAACTAATACTTCCAACCCTTGTAATAAAATTCACAGTGCTGTATCTGGAAATTCACAGCCATCATCACAAACTGTGCAGGCTACTTCCAAACTCCCTGGAACCATGATAGCGCCACAATATTCTAGGCTTCCGAACCCAGTCAGCCAGGTTATGGAGAAGCTCCCCGTTACCGATGGACTCGAAGTACCGCAACTGTTGAATTTCCTTAGTTCCCTACTCCGTCTGAGAGAATTCCCTGGTGTGGATGACTCCACACTGCTAAAACTGGTGTACCCCTATTGTCGCAGCCCTTTGACTGAGAGAGTACTATCATGTATCGAAGCTACCCGATCGTTTGATGATTTCCACCAAGAAGTTTTGGATTATTTTGTGCCGGGTAGGCTACTTCAACAATTGATACAGGAGAAATTTTACCGATTACAACGTCCAAGGGAGAGTCTGGCTAGTTTTGCTGCTGATCTTAAACATGTTGCTCGACTGCTTCGTGTTAAATTGGGAGAGACAGGAATAGTTGAAGTCATTCTGGGAGGTTTAACAGCCGAAGAACGTTCTCGTTTGGTTTTTTCGAGGCGACCGTCATCCTTCATTGAACTGGATGAGTTGAGCATCACCTCACGAAACGTTGCCTATACTGACGGGTTGAGAAGTTCTTGTGCCCCGGGCGGTTCAGATATGCGGGTCCGAGAAAATTTGAAAAGTTTACCACTTATGAGTATGGAAGCAAATCCTTCACACAATACAGATAGGCCACGTACTGTTTTTACTTGTTACGGATGTGGCAGGAAGGGTCACACCCGAAGATATTGTAGAGCCACTCAAAACAGCAGGTTTATGCAGCCTCGACAGGAACCCCGTGAAGTTTCAAAAAACGAACAGAGCGGGGGG